CCTCTTTTTAAAATAAATTTTAAGTGCTTTTGGCTAGAGAATTAACAAAACTGTATTTCCAATAGATCAATTAGTCTATTAGAATTAGCTGATGTGCAGTTTGTCTGTACCATGTAATGAGTATGATGAATAACTAAGTGAAAGGATGGCCAAAAAACATTTGCACATTTTTCTCAGTGAAGTGATGGCAATTTGTTAGGAAACAAGGAAGTAAAGGTCTAAGATGATTGTACTCATCTGTTGATAAAACTAAATCTGTTTTTAAAGTACTTCAAATATACGTTAAAGGATATTCACATTCATGTATGTAGAGAACATATCACATATGGGCAAATATGTATATATATGAAGTACACATGCATTTCAAACATCACACAAGTGAAATGTGGCCTGACACGTTATAGAATGTCAAATACGTAGTTACTGATTAGAGCACAGTAAGCTCCTGAGAAAGATGAGAAAATCTTACATGAGGGCACAGCGCTGGGCTGTATGAATACTAACAACCACTGCTGCAACCCTTGCATATTTAGAAAGCAGAGCTAATTGGTAGTTAGGAACAAGTGCACTAAAGAACTCTTGTAGAAAGCGCAGGAATCAATGATAGTTTGTCCTTTTTGATTCCAGTTTGTTCCCCTGGGTTTTACGGACACCGGTGCAGCCAGACATGTCCACAGTGTGTACACAGCAGTGGCCCCTGCCACCATATTACTGGATTATGTGACTGTTTACCTGGATTTACTGGAGCTCTGTGTAATGAAGGTACAAGCTATAATAAAGAATCTGTGAGATGCAAAGACCAAGCACTGTAATAATTCTCATTTTGTCTACTGAAAGTATAAGGACAAAAATGCTACATGCAGCAGCGTGTGCAGTTTATAAATGTAGACTCTTAAGCAGTTTTTAATCTCTTTAAAATTTGATCCTTAAGTACAAAAAAATACTTTTCTCCAGAACAGTACCATATTCTTATATACAGAACTTGAATAACAAGTACGTATAATGGGCTTATCAGATTTCATAATGTGTCACTGTACTATTGTACTAAAAATAACTTTACTTAATCCAAACATAAATTCATTATTCTTGAACTAATTAAAAATATATTATGCTGATTATTCAGGAATTCTAATACTTAAATTTGTTCTCAGTGTGTCCCAGTGGCAGATTTGGCAAGAACTGCATTGGAATATGCACCTGCACCAATAATGGAACATGCAACCCTATCGACAGATCCTGTCAGTGTTATCCTGGGTGGATTGGTAGTGACTGCTCTCAGCGTAAGGATCAGCATTTTTCCTTTTATTTTTAATTAAAAGTTTATCTGTGCAAATTCTCTGTTTGTTGATAAGCAAATACCATGTGAGCCAGAAATTAGGACTTCATGGTGTATTAGGAAGAGATCCTAAAGTTTTCTGCATTCCATTTGCATGCAATTGGAGAATCCACTTGCTGCCCAAAGAGGAGCTGTAGAAAAAAATATACCAGAATTGTCTCAGAAAGGCAGTGTAAAAAGATAAGTGGCAATGCTCACAGGTTGTAACAAGGACAACTTAACTGGATTCATTAAGAAAATTAATTGGTGTGAGTGGTTAAGCACAGCAACTACCAGAGAGGCTCTGAAGTCCTCACCCTGGAAGAGGCTGTGAAATTCTCATTTTTGAAAATTGTTAGAGTGTGATATTGGACTAGACGATGCCAAAGGTCTCTTCCAACATAACACAGTCTATGACCTGATGAATCTTGATTGGATAGAGGGTTCATAAGCTATTTCCTTGTCTGTGCAACTATGTAGCCACGTCCCAGTAGTGTTGTGTAGATTTCATGGTTTATATCCTTCGGACAGTCATATAAATATCTGTGGCATTTAAAGCAACCAAACAACAACAACAACAAAAATCCCTAAAACCGACAACAAACTAGCAAAGCATGGACAGCTAAAAGCAAGGCTTAGAACAAAGCCAGTATTTTCTCTGTCATAAGTTTGTATTCTGTCAGTGAGAATGTCCTAATTCTTCTTCAGATGGTTAACATGCTACTAATAAATCTTCTACTGTGATTTACTAAGTATTTTTCATTAGTTATTTTATTTCTCCCTTTTATAAATATGTTTGAAAGATAAGCATTTTTAGCATCATTCTATCTTACTTTATCTGGATATAGTCTTGTTACGCTAAAATCAGCGAAGACTTAGTTACCTACTTGAAAAGAAGGGCTGGCCCTAATTTTCTTATGTTTCATTGAGGTATGTTATTAAATAACTAGGCATTCTTCAGATGTCTTACTTGATCTATGCAGATCACTATTGACAAGAAAGTAATATCTGAAGCAAAATTCTGAGAGAAACAATAGCTTATTCTGTCAGGTACCAAAATCCAGAGTCTGCAACACATGCATGCAAAAATTTCAATCAAACAATTTTTTATGAAGAAAAGAAACTGTATAGGACTTCAATATATCAACATTTAAAAGATATTGTGCTGGGATTTCCAGGAAAGTGTGTTCCTAATAACATGCCTCATAGATTTACAGCATTAATGGTTTGATTGGCCTAAATTAGCTGTATCTGTACCAGAACACCTTTGCTGGTTAAATTCTGAGAAGGGATTAGCATCTACTACTCAGTATGATACGAAAATAAATTTGGGGCCCACACCTGTGGAAGATGGTGACAAGACAGCTCTCTGTTTTTTATGGCAAAATAAGTAGGTTCTTGGTAGAGTGTCCAAAATGAGGATATTTAGGAAGAGAGATGTACTTAGTGAATCAAGAGCAAGAAAATGGTATTAGCAGTATGAGTGGATGGGCTCACGTATTTGCTTTGTTTGAAAGCCCTTCACTCACATGTAAAATAATCATTTCATTAATTTCTTTTGGAATTAGTGACTTTTTTGTAACTTCTGACCTTCCACTTGTGTGTGATTTAGGTTCTTTCTTGGCTGACCACTAATTTCAGATGATCAACAGTTATAAAATAGGTCAGCAGGCATGTGTTATTCTTAGAACACCCTTTACTTTTAGTAATGTTCTGACATGAAGAAAATTTTCTTCTCTGCTATCTCAATAGTCATTGACATTTTTTAATCACTATGTTAATACCAGTACCTAGTATCAAATTTATTTATCATAACATTTTCAAAACAATCAGTAAAACTATATCGATTGATAGAGATATAAAAGCAGCTCTCCAGCCATGAGTACCGAAGATCTTTGTCATTTGAGATTGATTACTTGCTCTGCATTTTTTCAGCCTGCCCACCTTCTCACTGGGGACCAAACTGCATCCACACATGCAACTGCCATAATGGAGCTTACTGCAGTGCCTACGATGGAGAATGCAAATGTACCCCAGGATGGACTGGCCTTTACTGTACACAACGTAAGTATCCTGATTGTCTGTTCACAGTCTTGCAGGTCTACAAATCAGTGGCAGAATTTTCCTTCAGTACTTTCACACTTTATTCATCAGTTTATCCACCTGCTGCTGAACTTTTTGACCCAGAAATACAATCCCTATGGTTGCAGGGGAAACCCTATAAAAGCAGTGGCCATTGCATTTGGGCTCCCTTTAAGGCCTTCTTCAGAGGAAACAATATTTGGCCATAGGCAGATATCCTAATGGAAGAGTCTGTCACGTGCACATGCACACGCTGACATTCAGGTGCTACTGCTACACATGCATGGTTATGGCTGCAGACTGTAGCATGGTTGCTATTAGCATTACAGGTGTTCCTCATCAGGAAGGGTGATGGTTTCATGTTAACTGTTTCCCTCTCCATAACCTCCCTAGTAAATATTTTAACTTTGGAGACCCAACAGTTAACATAACAACGTAGCACAATCACTGGCAGAAGCCATGAAAGTAGCTTCTGGCTTATCTTTGGCTGTGATAGATGTCTTTGTTGATTCCAGTTACAAGCAGTGCAGTCACTGAGTCTAGGTGACTGGTTGATGACATTTCATATGACATTTGAGAGGGAAACATTAGGTATCAATAAAGTCATCTTCTTTATCATTAATAGTTATATCTATGGCTTTAGTCTGACTTATCTTCAATACAGGCACCCCTACTTTCTGCAATCTGGGAAAACCCGTTATTTTTAAACTAAGCACTGTTTTCCATTCAGTGTCTAAATGCATGTTTTCCATTAAATCAGAACTTACCTTTTTCCGCAGAATAATTTCATAGTGGCAGGAAGGAACACATGCATTATAGTGCCATATGGATGCAGCTCTGGAAGTCATTCAGTTTTGGTTCAGTTGTCAGCTATCATGGTTATTTTGCTTCCTGCTGATGAATAATGATCTCTTAGCAGTGATATTTCTTTGTCACTTTGAAATGATATCTTTGTGAGGAGCTGTGTTACAGTATGTTATTATTTTTATTCTTGTATGCTTCAACATCAGCTGTGAACTCTGGATAACGTATCCAAAGGTTCATTCATCATTAAACAGATTCCCTGTTCTGGTTCACAAAATTCCTTCTTTCTCCTTAAAGCATGAAGTCCTTCTTGCTACCTTTTTCTGATTGTCTGCTATTTTCACAATTTGCAATCTCATTTTTATGTACTTGCCGCCCAGTGCGTATTTTAAATCCCTTAAAACAGGGTAGGTCTTCATCTGTTGTGTTTACAAAGTGTCACATTGAAACGACTTTTCAATAATCAGAATATTTGAATTTTATTTCTGGAGCACCTGTCACTCCTTTTTCTCTCCCCCTCCTTGTATTGCAGGATGTCCCCTTGGATTTTATGGGAAGGACTGTGCACTGATATGCCAGTGCAAGAATGGAGCCGACTGTGACCACATCAGTGGGCAGTGTACCTGCCGCACAGGATTCATGGGGAAGCACTGTGAGCAGAGTGAGTAGGAGCCCCAGTTGTCTTGATAAAAATTACCAAACCCTGAGGTTGAGCTTCTGTTATTTTAGCTGGTGTTGTGATGCAATCTCTTGGCTTCAGTGGGCATTTTAACTGGGCAGGAGCTTTGGGAGTCAGACCTGGGCTTTTTCCAAATAGATAAATACCCACAGAATTAATACCTATTAAGACTGATTATGATAGTGGTGCTTCTTTCTTTCAATTTGTAGCAATATTTGAGAGGCATTTATACTACATTCTTGGTGCTTCAGACATAATGCTTAAAAAAACCGACAGTTCTGAATATAAAAGTAACAAATGAATTTGAGTAATAGTCATTAGCATAAAGCACAATGAAAATTATTAGGTGGAAAACTAAAGATAAGTAGTACCACATCAATTCTAGTGGATACAATTAATCTTTGTAATGTGTCTTTACACTCAAATGGATTATAAAAGCATAACAAATGGTATTTTATTTTCTTATATGCGTGATTCTTTACCCGAGAAAATGAAGAGTAACACCACTGACATCAACTGTGGTATAATGTTGTGCAACATTAAAAGAATAATCAAGCTCATAAGCACAGAACTCTATCAGTCTAGCTCTAGCTAATGTTACAGAGTGAGCGGTAATCCAATATTTCATGCATTACTGCAATGCAAAGCAACCCATTGAACACAAGGTCCTATATACTCTTATTTTACTTAATTACTCTTTTGAAGGTTTAAACTTGTGCTTGGCAACAGCACTGTGCACAGGACTTTTTGATAGGTGAAGGAGAGTAATTACCTACAACACCTGTCACACTTGGCAGTACTGTAACTGAAAGGAGAGGAGGTGACTATGTGCTGAACTTTCTCCCTGTAGACACATTTAATTCCCTCAGCAGTAAGCCTAGTTACAGCTTCAAGAAGTGTTATCTACAAGGACATCTGTGGTAGATCTGCTAAAAATAAGGAAAGAAATTTTGATTTTCCTAAGAAAAATACAACTACAATAAAATATGAAAATTTTGGAAGTGTGTTTATTTCAGTGAAATAATAACTCGCAACATGTAATTATTAGTTATTTAAACCTTATTCTACTTTGATGATGTAAGATGTTTCACTTCAAAAGCAGAGTAATGTTTAGGAAAAGATTTTAAGAACATCATAAATGTATCACATCGAAATGTTTTTTTGAATCTTATCAAAATATTATTTTGAGTACTTTGGTGAGCCTGCCAGTATTACAATGTTTTATTGATTTTATATTTACCCCATAATTTGGTAATAATGATTATATTAATTTTTCAACAGTATTAAGTTGAATATTCTTACACTTCTGAATTGGAACTTCAGTTTTAAAAATTGACTTTTCATTTCAGTTCAGCCACTGACTTCACTAGTTCTAATCTTGTTTTATGGAATGTAACCAAGTGAAAGAGAAGGTATATTGAACATGAAATTACACTTTTATCTGCATTTATCAAGACTGCAAGAAGGTTCTCTGGCATCTATATCCCTGTGAATTATTATAAACCAGGAATACATAAAATGTGAGTGAGATTATCCTAAAAAGACAAAGGAATTAATGCATTTACAAAATTCACGAGGGACTGAGAAAGTTGAGTCTCAGAAGGAGGAATGCCACCCTTCTTGAAACCATCAGTAGTACACTAATATAACGATCTACCTGTAACAGAGATGAGCATACAAAAGAAGTAATTATTATCAGTGTATGATAATTTAAATTAAGTTTCTTTCTCCCTCTAAATGTGTGCATGTATATACATGCACACACAGATGCAGAGAGATCCTCTTAAGGAAGTCTTTTTAGTGTATGTGTACCACTGATAAGACATTGCCATCTGCTGGCCATGTACGCAGACATGCATGGTCAGACAGAAGCAACTGGTAGCAGGTACAGTGCTAGGTCTGTAATGTACCACTAGGTACAGTGCTGTAGGTCTGTTACACTGAAACATTCCAGAAGCACTAACTACATTTGCTTTTTCTTTGTGCTTGTGTTGTCTCATTTTGTACAGAATGCCCTCAAGGTACATATGGATATGGATGTCGGCAGATATGTGACTGTCTGAACAACTCAACCTGCGACCACATCACGGGAACGTGTTACTGTAGCCCAGGCTGGAAGGGGGCCAGGTGTGATCAAGGTAGAGCCTAGATGCAGTCAAATTACTATAACTTTTTGCTGTAAAATTTAGTCAAACTATTAGATGTCATTTATTGCCATTAAGTTATTTTTCTGTGCTCAATGTGTTTCAGTAGGCTGCTATTGAATTATATATATATTCAATAGATTTGTAAGTATTAGATACCTCAGTGATAGTTTATTGGATCAAAGCACTCAAGTGCAGATTGCATGAAATGTTTTGCAGTGCTGCACTGTCCAAAGCTGCTGATAGAGCATATATTTACTCTGTACTTTTGCCTACAAGATGTTTCTCACTTTTTCAGCTCTTTCTATGAATCATGAAGTCATAGCAATGGCTTGGGTTGGATGGGATCTCAAAGATCATCAAGTTCCAACTCCTCTGCCACATACAGGATTGCCAGCTGCTAGCATCTACTAGACTAGGCTGCCCAGGGCCCATCCAGTCTTAATCATCTCCAAGGACGGGGCATCCATAACCTGTCTAGACAGCCTGTTCCAACACCTTACCACTCTCAGTACATCTAATCTAAACCTCTCCTCCTTCAGTTTAAAACAACTCCCCCTTGTCCTGTCACTATCTACCCATGTAAAAAGCTGATTTCCCTCATCTTTATAAACTCTCTTTAAATATTGGAAGGCCACAACGAGATCCTCCCACAGACTTCTTCTGAGCTGAACAAGCCCAGTTCATTCACCCTGTCTTCCTAAGAGAGGTATTCCAGGCCTTGGGTCATCTTTGTGTCCTTCCCCTGGACCCTCTCCAAAAAGAAGATTAATGCTTGTCCTGAAAGCTGAAGTTGTTTTTGCATTGGTTTTGGATGTGTCTCTATTTTGGCACTGTAAAATACAGTTAAAATTACCAAATATAGAAGTGAAATACCATTTTCTGCTCCTGACACATAAGCCTCTGAATTTACGCAATATATTTTCATTTCTTTTTGTTTTTCAGCTGGCGTAATTATAGTAGGAAACCTGAACAGTTTAAGCCGTACCAGTACCGCCATCCCTGCTGACTCTTACCAGATAGGGGCTATAGCAGGCATCATCATTCTTGTCCTGATTGTGCTGTTCCTGCTAGTGCTGTTCATCATTTACAGACATAAGCAAAAAGGAAAAGAAACAAACATGCCTGCAGTGACTTACACTCCTGCAATGAGGGTCATCAATGCAGATTACACCATTTCAGGTAAATGAAATTGGGAATAGATTTTTCCCTCTGCCTCTTGACTTTGAGTTTTCAGCAAAATTCTGAAGGGGTTCAGATCTACTCTTAAAAGGGCTTCAATGTGCATCTCACTTGCAGTGAGCAGGAAGCTATTTGTTCCCATAGAGTGTCTGAAAGTCTGCCTTGGAAGCCTACCTAGAAAGACAGACTGGGGAGGGTTTATTTTTTTGGGAAGAGGGAGACTGCAACTGCCCCCTATGGCCCTTTGCCAGCAGAGCAGCGCCTAGAATGACATGCTGGTGGTAAACCAGAACACCAGAATACTGGAACGCAGTGGTAGGCTAGTAAGACCCTCCTGCTGCTGCCAGAGATGGGGTTCAGAGGGAGCATGGCCCAGCATCTGCAGCCATTTAATTTGTTGTATCACAGTCTTTTAATCTGTGCATTTAGTACTAGAAAGCTGGCATACATTGGTAAAATATGTTAATTGCTGAATGAAGGATCAAGTGACCATATGCCTTGCTTTACTGTGTTATGTTTTTCTGTGTTAACCAGTGGAAGCATACGTTACTATTCCTCCGTGCCTAGCTTTAAACAGACTTGGAAAGCGTGGCAAAACATCGTTTCTGCTGAGACATTAAACTTTATGCCAATGGCTAGAATATGGAAAGACTGTTGTAGCTAGCTGTGGTTCTATAGAAAAGCAGAGAACAGAGCTGCTCAGCTGAGACAGATAAAGGGAAGGAGCAATGCTTCTGAAACAGAATGGGAGTTTTCAAGCTATGAAAATCCACATAAGTTGGCATTAAATGGATAAATGATAATGCAGGCAGTGCTGTCTTTTGCAAATAACTGAAAAGGAAATTGGCAGGTAAAGAAGCTTGCAGAAGCAGTTGTCAGAGTAGAGAAGGATGTACCACCACAGGTAATGGTAGAGTATAAGCACAAAAAAAAAAAAGTTGCTGTAAAGTTTAGAGTAGAAGTGTCCATAATTAGAACAGTGCCGTGATTACAGTTGCAAAAGACAGCAGGGGACCAGATCTGAACGACAGGTCAGCTCGTAACATTTGAGAATGCTCTCTGGGGAAGGAAGGACACAGCTAGTCACTTACTGCTCTGTATCTCTCATTTATTCAGATGTATGCCACATTTTTATTCAAGAAATGCTGGACCAGTTTCTGAAATCAGTGTAGCACTATGAAAAATAAGAAAGATACGATGCGTTATATTAAGTTGTTCATTTTTCTTTCTTTTCCTTTTCAGAAACCATCCCTCATAGTAATGGTGGAAATGCTAACAGTCACTATTTCTCTAACCCCAGTTATCATACTCTAACACAGTGCACTACACCACCTCATGTCAACAACATGGACAGACTGACCCTGGCAAAGGTAAGGCAGAAAAATCTAAATGATTCTGTGTAGGTTAGGCACTGAATTATGTAACTGCATTTCTTGTGTCTCTCGTTGGATTTATTTTGCTTTTCTTGATTGTTACCTGGTGGAATTCAGCAACCCCCACATTAGTTTCAAGTTCCATCATCTATCTTTCTTTGAAATAGGCAAAAAACAACCAGCTATTTGTGAACCTTAAAAATGTGGAACCTGGGAAGCGAGGCACTGTCATGGACTATACTGGAACACTGCCTGCTGATTGGAAACATGGTGGCTACCTCAATGAGCTTGGTAAGAAGAGAAAGGAAGAGAAAATATTAGTATGGGATAGAAAGCAGAAATCTTCTTCGATGTAGAAAGTGTTCTTCAATCTCTGAGTATCAGAAGTACCTGAGTACCATTTGTGACACTGCTAAATCTGTTATGCCAGGCTTGTCAGATTGTGTGAAGTTCAGGGTTATGGGTTTGTCCTTCCTTTAAGCAATATGCTCAAAGATGAAAAAAGTTACTTACGAAAAACAGTCAATCAGTCTGTTATTATTAATCAGTGCCGTAATACAATGGCTATTTTACAGTGGGAGTCATCTTTGGCAAAATTTCAGATTCTTGCAATGTAAATGAGAGGTTGCATGTCCATATATGTGCCCACCATACAGAATCAATGCTTTAAAAAAGGTTACTTACCATCTGAGCTTCCTATGCAAATTCTAGGAACATCGTCTAAGTTAAGCCTCCTGTTAGCCAAAATTCAGGGCATCTTCTTCTTTCTAAGAAGAAAAATTCCCAAGAACTGTTCAGTTATGGTATCTTGCTTTTATGCTGTCTCTTGACATCTTTTCATTCTTTCCCATTCTCCTAGATTTCATTGATCATGATCTCTGATCAGTGAAGATTTTGTAAGGGATTTTCAGTGCCAGTATAATTTAGAGTACCATTTCTGGTAGAGTACCTTCATTTCTGGTCCTTAGTAGTATCCGATCCTGGGAATCAGAACAATAGTGTGGAACCATTATTCTTCCTCCTAATCATCCCTGATATTTTTCATACCATAACCGAGTCTCAGACCTGGATTTTAGAAAAGGTTTTCAGTCGTAATTTTGCTCAGCTTTACGTTTTCTTAGTTAAGAGTGTTTGTACTAGCACACTAAGCTCAACACTGCAGTTCAACCTACTGCAGTGTACCATCAGTAATATACTGAGGACTGGAGGACGGGGTGAGTGGCTTGGGTAACTGCGGGCTGGTGACCAGAACATTAGTCTTAGCAAAAACAGTTAAATGAGAACTAATTAGTAAAATATGAGATAGGAATACAATTTATTGATTAAAGATTTCTCAAATAGCATAATTCCATTCTTCAAAACTATTACTTTTGTTTATAGAGAGATACTATATAGGTGATTTGGGGCTTTCTAGCATAGAAAAGAAGGCTCTGAATGGATTAACAACTGGTTAAGTGTCAGGTCTTGGGAGAGAGTTGTCAGTCATTGCTGACCGTTGATGTTTATATTAATATTGAGATAAGTCTGCTTCAAGTAGACCATTGCAAAGCTGCAGACCTAGACACTACGAGTTTAGGCCATTCCCCCAGGTTGAGGAACTGTCACAAGGTGACCTTGGACAAGGCAGTGGGAGTGATTAACCTTTGAACTGTAATACTGAGAATTGGAGTGAAAGTTCCATGCTCTGAGGGTTTCCGGTCAAGATGGAGTAGTACTGCAGTAGGTATCGTATACCAAGACAAAAAACATACTTTAATCAAACAGTAATTGTTAGGTTCACTGAGGTAGCTGCAGAAAATGTCATGGCCTGTGTCATACGGGATGTCAAAGTGATAATTTAATAGTCTCTTATGACCTTCCTTATTCAGGGAACTACTGAAAGAATGGAAGCAAATTGTAACAGGCTTTCGTAAGCCTTTGACTGGGCTTTTTCACAGTGCTTATAAGAGAATATTTCTGCTACGCTAGAAATTAATTTCCAAGCTAGTTTTAAAGCTGTAGAAGCTGTTATATAATCACTTTTATTTTATTTTAAATCTATTATGTTTTTTATATCATTTTTCTCAGGAGCTTTTGGACTTGACAGGGGGTATTTGGGAAAGTCTCTGAAAGGTGAGGTTTATTTTTCTGATGCTTCTAGATAAAATGACATTGATATTCAGTTAACTCTTCTAAATTGTCTTTGGTTGCAAGCCTGCAGTACCACAGTCTTCATGCTTACTGCAGGCATTTGGAAAGTTTCTCAAAGTAAATCTGAAACATGCTGAAACATGCTGCTGCCCTAAGCTCCCAGCACCGCCTATTACCAAAGGGCTACAGGAGCTGGCAGCAGACAGCACCTGCCACAGCACTGGGACACTTGCAAAATTGCTGCACTATCAAAGGGACAAGTAGCTTGAGGTATTTCTCATTTATGCACACATATTTCATAGAACCTTCTGAGTTGGAAGGGACCCTTAAAAGCCATCTGGTCCAAATCACGTGCAATGTACAGGAACACCTACAGCTCCATCAGGTGCTCAGAGCCCATCCAGCCTGACCTTGGCTGTCTCCAGGAATCCATCACATCTCTGGCAAAACTGTGTCAGTGCCTCACCACCCTTACTGTAAAAAACTTCTTCCTTACAGTCAATGTAAATCTTTTTTAGTTTGAAATTATTTTCTCTTGTCCTATCACAAAGGACCTGGTAAAAAGCCTGTAACCTCTGTTCTTCTAATTCCCTTTTAAATACTGAGAGGCCACTTTTGGGTCTCCTCAGAGCCTTCTCCAGGCTGCACAGCCCCAGCTCTCTCAGCTTGTCCTCATAGGAGAGGTGTTCCATCCCTTGGATCATTTTTGTGGCTGACCTCTGGAGGCACTCCAACATGTCCACAACTCTCCTGGAAAAAAGAAGGCTGCGGGGTGACCTCATTGCAGCCTTTCAGTACCTAAGGGGAGCCTACAAACAGGAGGAGAATCAACTCTTTGAAAGGGTATATAACAGCAGGACAAGGGGAAATGATTTTACATTGAGGGAGGGAAGATTTAGGTTGGATGTCAGAATGGAGTTCTTTACTCTGAAAGTGGTGAGGTGCTGGAACAGGCTGCCCAGAGAGGTTGTGGATGCCCCGTCCCTGGAGGTGTCCAAGGCCAGGTTGGATGGAGCCCTGGGCAGCCTGGTCTAGCATTAAATGGTTGGTGGCCCTGCATGTGGCAGGGAGGTTGGAGATTCATGATCATTAAGGTCCCTTCCAACCCTGACCATTCTGTGATTCTGTGATTCTGTGAAGAATGAGTGCACAGAGAGGAATTAAAAGCTTAGTAAATTCAGGGCTGTGATTATTATTTTTCTCTTTCAAGTTATCCACTTTTCTCTTAAGACTTTAGTCTTAAGAGTTTGCATCACTTTTTGTTATATGGTTAGGATATGACAAGGATGACTAGAATGTCTGGATATCCAAACAAGGCATAAAGTGTAAACAAATAAATATGCAGACAAGAGCATCTAGTTTGTCACCGTACTTACAGGAGAAATAAGCTCAAAGAGTGCTTTATTATATATTGCTATGATATATAGATAGTCATACATATTCCCTTGTTTTGCAGTATTAAGGGAAGCCAAATTTAACTTCATGTAAATGAGGCACAATTAATGAGCACATATTATCTGATATGTTTTGCTAAATGGAAGTTGCTCAGACATTTTGCTGATAGCAAGATTAAGCCCATAAAAGAGTAGAACAGTAGAGATATTTTCACTAATTGCCTTATAAAGATTTTAGAGTGTTATGTCTAGTTTCAATTTAAATACTCATTTATAAGTGACTTTTTAAAACTCAGAATTAAAGAACATCCGTACATTGGCAGAGCTTTGTACCAGTGAAAATGCACTTTGCTCTGTTTAGTAGCAAAATCTATCCTATGTAGAGTGCTTGAGAGAATAGTATGTTTTTCTTTTTTCAGATCTAGTTAAGAACTCGGAATACAATTTAAGCAATTGCTCCTTAAGCAGCTCTGAAAACCCATATGCCACTATAAAAGACCCACCAGCTCTTGTACCAAAAAGTTCAGAATGTGGATATGTTGAAATGAAGTCACCAGCGCGCAGGGACTCCCCGTATGCTGAGATCGCCAGCTCTGCTTCAGCCAATAAGAACGTTTATGAAGTTGGTAAGAAGAATCTGCTTCCAGATTTTGAAGGTTTAAAATAGAGAGCACAAGGCTCTTTTCCTTCCATTAAACTTAATGAAAACATATGAGAAAGCACACACAAAAAATGATGGCTATCCAATTCTATTTTCTGCTCAAAAGCTGTAACAACAACTCAAAAGTGATGTAATTCACATGACCATCATTTGAAGTATCTTCAGCTCTGTATTATTGATGCTAAAGAAAATTTTGGAGTTTTGTGGAACAGTTACTATCATAATGATCTTAGGACTGGAATGATGTGTATGTCACACATTACAAGACACCACTGACCAATATCTGCACTGTGCTGATCAGGATTTTTATAAGACCTAGATTATAATCCCTTGGGATTTTTTTTTTTTTTTTTTGCTTTTTTTTTTTAGTTTGTCCACACACAAGATCAGATGTTGTCATAAATACACTCATAGTAGGGTTCTAATGCAAGCTTGGAGGTATTTAGTGCAAAGCTAAAAAAGTTTAATATCATCTTTTGTTTCCATACCTTCACTTCAGCATACAGCATTACAAGGAATCTTTAAACTGAAGGAAAAAGAAGAGCATTTTTTAACACAACCTAAAATGAAACACAGTACCTTCTGTTTGTCATTTCTCACACTGTGTGTATGTGCTCTCTTTTATCACAGAACCAACAGTGAGTGTTGTCCAAGGAGCATTCAGCAGCAGTGGACGTTTCAGCCAGGATCCTTATGACCTTCCAAAAAACAGCCACATTCCGTGTCACTATGACTTGCTACCAGTTCGAGATAGCCCCACATCCTCTACAAAGGAGGTTGGCAGTGAATGACTCCAAAAGCTGAAGTGTAGCACAGTGGGACTCTCACTGGGACAAGTGGCATAGTTGTGTTCCTTCCTTAGTTTACAGTTGTATTTGGTTCCTAATCTGTCCATCAGAAAATTGCCATACATCAAAAAGGAATCTCAACATGAGGTTTGTACTGCGTATAGAAGTGACACATGGATAAATGCCACACTTGGGAGACCCTGATTGTTCTTTTTTTGGTGGCAGTTAATTTTATAGAAACAAGTATGCAATACATTTATACTGTAATATACAGGCGTAAAAATCTTAGTTTGTAGATCAGTTTTGATAACAGATCCCACTTCAGCTACTTTAAATATGGACTTCATATTCAGTACTCCCAGGACAGTGTAATTTACCAAATGCTATTTCATACAGGTTATTAGTTAGGTGGAACAAAAACCGTCTTGCCAAATTTTACCTTTCATTCTGCTCTTTAGTTAAGACATACATACTAAGAAACAAGATCAGATAAAGTAAGCATAACACTGCAGTTATTTGAGAAGTCCATCATCAGACTCTTTTGTCCATTACTGTTGGTGGGAATACTTTATTTGAATAGCTTTCAAGATGATAACAGCATTGCATACATCAAAATTATATGATGCCTCAAGATCACTGGGTACTCCAAACCCAGCACCAGTCCTCAACAAATATTTGCTACACTTCAACTCCACATATTGCTGTTCTGACCACTATTTCTACCAAACACAATTAATAATCCATAACATATCAGTAATTATTTCATAAAATATGTAAATTAAATCAGTTTATTTTTGTCAGTGTGGACTGAGTGTGTAAGGAGTGGAAAAAGGTGATGATTTATGTAAACCTGACTTGCAAAGAACGGTTTACATTTTATAAACAGGTAGTAATAATTACTGTAAATATAGTAGGGTAAAAACAGTAAAATGTTGTGATTTTTTTTTCTTAGAAATAACTAAGCAATCTCTGTGCATACTTGCTAAAAGGCACCTTTTTTTATAGTTGATGTATGGAAAAACATGCTTAAGCTGGTCTTTTGCATTGCTAATAATTTGACACGTACCCTCATTCTTCATTAACTTCTGCCTCTATTTTTAAGCTGTAGTTTGTGTTTCTAGTGATCTAGCTTGTAATTCCAAAAGTATTCTACTGTGTGTCCATTTTTTTTTTCTTGCATTTTTGCCAAGTGGCCTTTATTTTGTCTGGTTAAAGAGTCCTCTGGGCAGAGGAAGAGGATTAAAGTAAGGATAATGTCTTACTGATACTCCAAGAGGCACTTAGCAATTACATAATAGATTATGAATTGATTTAGTTAGAAAAATATCAAGATGTTTTTGTTGGGGATAATTATAAGAATGCAGAAAAAAGTGAAAAATCAGACTCTCTCTTCGAAGTTTAGATTATTCTGTTAACGATGTGGATGGAAACCAGGCTTCCAGAAGACTCCTTTCTCTATGATCTACATAATTCATCAGATTTGCCAATGTATCTATCCACTGAAAGAAAACTGTTTTTTTAACGTTTTTAGGCAGTTTAAAAATAAAATGGTTGATATGGACTAGACATTCTCATTCATGAAAAGATACCTTTAGAAACCTAAAAATCATATTCTCAGCTATAGCAATATTATTTCTAGGTGGTATTATTCTCTAGCTTGCAGTGATGCCATCAGCTAATGTGCTGGCCACGTAACCCCAGCAGTCTCCTCCATTCTCCCTCACTTCTAGCTCTGTAGCTTGTTGTAAGAAGTTTTCTCCATGGATTGATGCTTCCCTTGGGGAAAGGATGTAGGTGGTTGCATCTTATGACATATAGCGGGAAGCATAAAGTCATTCTAGTCTTCTTTCTGCATTGGGGACATATTTTGGCACATGAGACTTGTGATGTGAACAGGAGTTGATAGATTAAAGAGTACAGAGTGTCAACTGAAAAGAAAGTCAGGTGGATGAAAAAAATGAAAAAAAAACAACTTTTGGAAATATTTTTTAAAAAGACTCCAAGATTTGAAATGGAAACACTATTTCTTTTATTCTTTTATCTCACCAGTTCTTTTATTTGTTGTCACTGAACACTGAAGTGTTGCATTCAAGATGTTGTTACAAGTGTTCTCCAGCCTGATAAAGTATATGCCTGTTTGCAGTGCCCCCTAACGTTCCTGTTTCTCACTGACTGTAAGCGCTGACTGTTTTTCAGTTCCTTGCACACTGTTGGTCTTTGCCAGCACAAAGATTAAATGCAAGGTTTCAAAAGCCAGTCACCATTTAATCCCTCCATATTGACTGGATTTGTGTGCATACAGGTACATGTAGCACTAATGGTGCACACATGTGTTTGTACTATGGGAAACATTTTAAAATAGAACCTCTCTTCGAAGCCATGAATAGAAAATGCTGTATTTGGCAACTATGAGCTCACAAAAATTAATTTTCTTACTCTGTGTAAAATTTGGAGACCCCTAGATAAATTCTCATCATATGAAGTTATTTTTTTAATATGCAACAGTAAATAGCTCAATAAATGATTTTTAATATGCCTGAGAATTTTCAGTATGTCACATATCCTGAAGTGATATATTGAGCCAAACATTCATGAGAAGAGATGAATTTCTGATAATACTGCCATTGGTGTATGTTTCAAATATACACATAATCAAAGACAGCTTTCTGTATGTGGATATGGTGCCAGCTTAAGCTGACTGAGCTGTCTATGCAGTGACTCTAGATCAGGTAAATGACTTGTGAATTTATTTAATCAGATGATCCTCAGAAGATGCAGAAAAGAGGACTACCTGCAAGGGCAATACATTTCTAGTAAATTGTTATCTATATAGCATTCATTTGAAAGAAAAAAAAAAAAAAACAACAAAACACATGGAACTTATGTTAGCAGTCCTATCTCCTCTACAAGTGTTAGGGAGGCTTGCTCCAGAGTGCACGCTGCTGTCACTGAAAATGAGATTCAAACTAAATCCTCCTGATTGTCGTGGTCCCTTTTGCTGATTCAGCTGTGCTCTTTAAAGAGCCCAAATACATTTGAACACCTACACTATATTCTGGTGGGAACTTAATGAGAAAGTTCATATAATAATTTGACAAATACTGACTACACAGAGAATTGGCTTCACCACAGACAGGAGTGGAAAGAGATGCATTATCTCTACATGTTCACATTGTAAGAGTGAGAATTATAGCACTGAAAGGTAGCTCACCTCTGCTAATATGGTTGTTGAATGAAGTGCAAAATTCTGCACAAGGATAATAGCTGATTTAAAAAGTGTGTAGTGAGTATAAACATTAGGTTTTAAATAGTATAGGTGTGTTAATTCTAGTCACTTAGAAACATAATAAACCTCAATGGCTTTTTAGTTTATCAAAGATTTTTAGTCACAGCACACTGTTATGCAGAAATGTCCTCATTTTTCTACCCAGACAATTCTCATTAGTTTTAATTGGAAATGCATATGCAGATTACAGAGGAACAAAGATTCTGTTGTACTTTCTGCTGAGACAATCTGCAAAATCAAGTTAATATCACAATTAAATAAAAAATTAGAAGTGGGGATGCATTATTTAAAATACATTGAGTTTTCAAAGTACTGTGAATACAACCGGATATTTTAATTAGGTATTTCCAAATTCTAAAATTCTTACACCGAAGCTCTAAAATCCAGACTGAAGAATACAGAGCTAATTTTGACAAAAATGCTTTATATTAAAGATTATATATATATAGTAGTTAAAATGACTGAAAACAAATGTGTGCATGTTTATTAATTGCCGTATAGAAAATCTTTCCATTTTTGGTACACTTAAACTAGTGCTAGAGCACTGAACCTAACTCTTCTATTTTCAGTTTTTTAGCCCACCGGACTTCACTTTCTGAAGACTGAATTGTAATATATTTTTAAAGAATACCTATTGAGTATGTCTGGCTTCTTTTTCTTAGCTGTAACAAAAAAAAGTGTTTTGTTGTTAAAATATATCTATTTTCCAAAGATGACTGATGTTCATCATTTTGTCCTTCACTACCATTTATTTCACTTCACATATTTGTAGGTTAACATAATAAAGTTTATAATGAAAGATGGGAAATGGTTGATTTTTTCCTTTTTTAAGTTAGGATGACTCTTAAATTGAATGGAAAACATAATGTTATCTTTGCTGGACTATCAAGTAATGTAGTTTATTTTCCTTCTTATAAAATCAAGTCATTTTTTATATGCTTTGCAGAATGGCAAGACTGAATTTGGATTTTAAGCTGCTGAACTTTTTAAACTGTTCATACAGGAGTTAGTCTTGCGAATTGGGCAGTTGTTTCAAGCCTGTTTCTTGTAAAGCTTTACCGTTGAAAAAGCTGCAGAACTGAAGTGCCAAAAGCAAGGTGTTCTTCCTTTGCTTAGGATAATAACCATGGACTGATCATTGCAAAGACAAAACTAAAGTACAAACATGAGAGACAACATACTGTCACTCTGTTTTTTGTTGTTGTTGTTGTTGTTTTTAAACTTAGACTCTGTAGGATGAACCTAAAACACTGGTCACAGGGTGTGGTAGTGTGTTGTTTAACTATAAGTTTGCTCAAGAATGAGGGATTTGACAAAAGATTCTTTAAACTAGTTCAATTAGGTTATGGCTTAAAGTAGTAGCTAGCTACCATGACACCTACTCAGAAGATCATGCCTCAGATGTGCACTTACTACATGGGTTACTCTGATTACTTTTAGAAGTCTAACTAGCAAGAGAAAGCAAATACTCTAGTTTACCAAGAGCCTTGAACAGACTTAGTGAACTGCCTTAAACAAGATAACCAACAATAAGAGAAATGCCTCAAACATATTTGCATGTGTTTTTAAAAATGACAGAATCTGATAATAGTTGTTTAATTACCTCATCAGCATCTTAAATTTCTGATCAGAATGAGTCTGGAAATAGAGTGACTAAGGTATGCTCTGTACCTGAAAAATGAAGATCACTTCATTGTTCTGTTTGTCGCTGTTACGAGCCTGTGAAACAATAAGAAGAACTAAAGCAATTCCAATAGCATTATAGTTAAAACCTCCTTCTTCCAAAGGATTGTTGAGTGGCTTCTAGTATCAAGATTTGTCATTATTCACTTCCACATTTTCAAGTTGAATTGGGTTTCTGAGAACTGCTATGTCTTTCTTTGTATAAGAGAAGTAAAATCTTATTTTTGTCTTGCAAAATGTTTGTGTAGGGAGCTACGCTGTTGAGTTTAAAAATCTATCAGCCTTAGTAGCTATGTGGGTTATTTCCAAATACATGTACAAATTGAAACTAGATATAATTTTTAGATGGCTATTAGAAGCTAGTAAAAATGTTGTGAATTTAGAAGTAACTTAAAAATATTGCTTATAGAGCTACATTTTATAAAATGTCCTGGAGAGTACAATCCAAGGGACATGAAGTAGCTTCTCTCGGGTGTTTTGTATTACACAAACACACACACAAAGGGCATTTGGTCACTGTCTGAAGTTCTGTACTAACTACTCCCAGACAACGTACAGCACTAGCTAAATGTGTATATTTTTGTCTAATTATTCAAGGGAAAAAAAAATCTAAATAAAGAAAGACATCCATTCTGCACATAAATGCATGTATAAGTTCTATTTCTTCATTGATTTTTCAATGATTTTTTTTTCTTGTCAGCAGTTGATTTTCTTCTTGGTGGGAAATCATTATTTTTAAATGTACAGAACCTGAAGTCCATCTGTTGCAGCAATGAAGGCTTTGAAAATAATTCCAATTACCCAAATTATATTGCTTCGAATGATTTGTATCAGTGAGCAGGAACCCACAAGGGTCAGGTTTGACCCCTGGCTTCACATAAGACCACCCAAAATCCAAACCCTGTGTCTGAGAGCACTGTCCAAACACTCCTTGAACTCCAGCACTGGGGCCGTGCCCCCCGCCCTGTGCATCCCATTCCATGCCCACCGCCCTGTGGCGCAGACCCTTTCCCTGACCCCCAGCTCCCCTCCCCTGACGCAGCTCCATGCCGTTCCCCCGGGCCCTGTGGCTGCCACACAGAGCAGAGCTCAGCGCTGCCCTCCGCTCCCTGTCAGGAGCTGCAGCCGCTACCAGGCCTCCCCTCAGCTCCTCTGCTCTGCGCTGAGCACACCCAGGGACCTCAGCCACTCCTCATACCCCTTGCCCTTGCCCTGTTTAATAGTTTCATGCTCTTCTTACATTGTGCTAGAGATGAAGATTCACAGTGCAGAGCAGATAAGACAACCCCTTGCCTTGCCCAGTGACAGTGTTAAATGCAGGTAAACATGACATTAAATGTCCTTTTTTTAATCTACATCCGTATTTGTGAGGGGACCAGCCTCATCTAGTAATGGACTGGTTGTATCTCCGCTCTTCCTTTTGCTGTTAACATACTTTTAAAACACCCTTTTTGTTGTACTCCACAGTACTGGACGTCTAACTGACCTCTAATTGTGCTTTGGCTACCTAAATTTTCATCCTGCAATAAGGAACAGATCTTCCTGCAGTGGGGAACAACCATTCCTGGCTAATCCTTCATAACTGAATATCCTCCAGAAGTATGAACCCATGGGGAACTGTGCACTAACCCATGGGTGCTCAAGTTTTTGGCTTGCCTGGGCCTCATGAAGTAAAGAGGAACTATCTTGGGACGCATGCGTAATATATAATATTCTTAGTGTACAAAACAAAAATAATCTTTACATACATATAAATAAATAAGTGAAACGTTAGAGAAAAAAAGAGAGCAACAAAAACAAACTAGTGGAATATTTAACCTTGGCCAAGACATGTACGTAGGTTGAAATATAATTATCAGGAATCACTGTGTTTTACTCTGCAAGTGGCACAAACATACATAACATGCTATATGCATGTTCAACTGAGCGCGTGTGGGGCGTGCAAAAGGTGGAGTCAGCCCTACTCTGTGCCTTACCCTCTGCAGAGTTCTGTTGCCACATGTGCAGTCAGCCGTAGAGCTGCATGCAATCAACTCATGAAAAACATTACTGAAAATCACATAATAACGTTAAAAGTTTAATATCAAGTGGGGCCATGCTACTAGCTGTCCTGGGCTGAATCCGCCCATGGGCAGCAGGATCAACACAGTGTTTTAGTGGTAGGCCCAGCAGCGCTACGTTAAGGGTCATACTTGATGACCTCAAAGGTCTTCCCCAATCCATATGGTGCCACCAAGCAATAGGCTGTGACATCACCAGAGGATGGACTGTGATTGTGTGGGCCCCACTGCTCACACTGGGGTGCTGGCAGAGCCTGACTCAGTCTGGCTCATTCCTGGACCCTGCTGAGCAGCACTACGAGGCTTGGAGGTCGAGCAAGGATTTGGCTGTGCTGTACTGGGTTGTGCCTGGGGCTGCTCGCAGCATCTCAGTGCCTGACCCTGCAGCATCGCTTCTGTTTCCCTGGCCATGCCCAGTGCAGGCAGCCAGGGCCCTGCAGAGTGCACCCACAGCAGTGGAGGTGAGTGGTGATGGGTTCTTCAGGGCAGCCGCAGGAAGCCTGGCCCTGTGTCAGCAGGGAGCACCAGATGGCCCAGACATGGGCTTGGGAGGGCTTCCTGCTGAGGGGCTGCCGATGGCTTTCACAGCCTGGGACAGCGAGTGACTGTGGTCTCTCTTCCTTTTGCAGAGTGCAACACCACTGCTGCAGCTCCAGTGAAGCAGAACAACTTGTCATCCTCAGTTCTCCCAGCCCCTGCAGTGAGAAGACCATGGCTGCAGAAGAGGCATGGACATGCTCCATCTGCCGCGATGTGCGACAGGACGTCACCTACGTGATTCCGTGTAATCACACGTTCTGCATTGGCTGCATGTCAGTGGGCGAGGCTGAGAGACAGCTGCCCACGGTGCAGGATGGTCATGCAGACCATCCGGGTCCCTGTGCAGGAAGATGATGAGTCTGTGGAGTGCATCTTCTCCCCGCCCACACGCCCACGCCCATTGGCTTTGGCACTGCCACTGCCACTGGCCCTGACAGTGTTGAGGCATCTCTTTCACCCACTCCATTACCATCCCTTGAACTCATGGCCGCAGAGCCAGAGAGGGTGGGTAGCCTCCTGCCAGAGGAGCGGGCAGCACTTTTTAGGGTCAGACAAGACACCCTTGACCCAGTGCTGCCCTGGCTGGAGCAGCAATTGTCACACATCCAGGTGTTGCACTGGTGACAAATCAACTGGTTGAAGAAGATGATCGTGTCACTTGTGCCAGGTGGGACTGGACAGGGACACCCTGGCACAGTGCTTACAGGGCACGCTGGGACCCATCACCATTCCATTCACTGACATCGTCATTGAAGCCACCCAGAGACTGTGTGCCCAGGAGGCCCGGAAGCTGCTGGGCCTCGAACACCCCAGTGCTGCCCACGAGCAGGAGGATGGCACTGCGGCCCCATCCAATCCCGCTGCCACTCACTCGGGGACCACTGCCCTCAGCGCTACACCTTCCAGCAGCTCAGCAGGTAGTGATGTGGAGGAGCTCCCCAGCACATCCAGCTGAGTCCTCGGCCAGAGTGCTGGCGAGCTCCCTGCCGCAACCAGTGCTGGAAGGGGGCAGGAAGCAGCAGGTCTGTCTGAGCTGGGCCACAGGAAGGCAGGAAGCACTCGGCTGGGGAGGCCTGGCACCCCACAAAGAGGAGGGCCCACAGCACCCAGGGCACCCCCCAACCCCCAAGGCTGCCCACCTGGCATCCCTAGCAGGACTGTCTCACTCCGATTGTCAGAGAGGGGGAGATTCTTTGCTCTATCTGGAATAAGATTGAGACACAGGTCACGAGCAGCACCTGAGGGCATGCAGGTTTCTGGATGGTTCTCTCTCTAGAAATGAGCCCTCAAAAGGCTGCCATCAGCCATTCAGCTGCTCCTTTTCTCTGGCAGCTGCTTCTCTCTCATTGCCCCCAGCCTTCAGGTCTTCAGACTGATGACTTATGGATCTGTACATTGGCTGTGTGCAGGTCTTATGATGCCTACTTTTTCTATTTCCTGCACCCTTCTTGAGATTTCCTCTTGCTCCCCAGGAGTCTATACTGCTTAGAATCAGCAATCCAGAAAGGTTCTGGCAGACAATCAGGCTCATTTTTAACATGGCCTCTTAATGGCACTTGCACCACTCGAATACTAACACATGTTTCTCTTAGTGTGAAATCTCTCTCTGCAGAATCAGACTCCGTAGTATATCTGTGCCCAGAATATATTCAGAGACAGGGGCAAAACACACCTTATACTCTTGGGATGGGAGATGCCCATCTCACTCATTGCATGCACTGGAGATCCCCAGCCTGCCTATCATGTGCTCAATCACTGTTTCACGCCATGCCTGAGCATTTCCACTACAAGTAATCATAATCATTTCATTTATCTTCACTATACCACTTCATTTCAAAGTGGTATTCAATTCAATTCAAGGGGAATTACAAGACTTACTGAAATAAAAGTTTGCAAAGCAGTTTTGAAAAAACTCGACTAAGTAAAATAAAGAATTATGTTTCTGTGGTAGAAATTGTTTCCTGATTGTTATTAATTAACCTACCAAAGAGTTGGTGGAAGTCAGACAGAAATCAATAAAATTAAACATTTATGAATGGTTTCCTAGGAACAAAGCATAGAAAACCTTTATTTACAAAAATTAATGTAACTTGGTGATCCCAGCAATGTCTTGGTGAACACTGAACGGTTTCTGCTGGGCTTCTGCTTAACTCATGTAAGTGATCACATACCACGTTGAAAAATGATAGGCATGTCTTCCATTCAGCTGAATGAGGGATTAAATAAATGGTCTTTTATATAGTGATAGCTAAAATATTAGCATATTCCAGTCAAAGACAAGGGGGAATTCAGCTCAAGCTCAAGTCCAGCTTTCTGGGGCATGGGAGACAGAACATAAGCAGCAGCTTGACACAATAAGAGAAGCACTGTCAGTGAGCCCCTAGAAAATAAGTGAGAAAGCAAGTTTCCAGTGCAAAGTGGAAAAGCAACCTTTAAAGCAGGAGGAAGGGAACCGCCACTTGAATCAACACTACAGGACTTTGCATATAATACTTGTAAGAAAGACATTTTTTGCATCCTCCTTTCCACTACACATTTGATTCAGATCAAAAAGGGAAACAGTCAAGGAACAGACAAAATTCAGCTCCACTGAAGCATGCAGCTGGTTATTTTTTCAGCACCTAAGACAGAAATAGCAATAGTTTCCAAGTTTCATTTAGCTGAGTAGTTACAGGTTCCTCAGTAAAATCCTTACTGGCATTTTACAGTTTTCTTCCGAGATTAAAGCCGATGTTTTTCACAAATCTCTAACATACTAGGCTATTTTATACAAAATATTATTAAACCACAGCCTAACCAGAAAAGCTAATCTATCAGCTGATGCAGTGCTTCAGCAGTTCGGTGTGGAAGGCCAGCCTGCTGCTGAGTGCAGTTCCAATCGCCCAGAGGCTTGTGGACGTCCGAGCTGCAGCGCCTCGGAACTGAACAATGACACTTTTAGATGGTGGCCGGCGTCCCTTCGTGTAACGATTATACTGCTACACGGCTGTAATTTGTCACAGCGGCCGTAACTAAACTACAGCATTATCGTTATTAGAACTCTAAGGGGCTGAGGAGAGAAAGCCTCATGGCTGAAGGTTCTCCCCGCACGGCCCTGCAAACGTGGCGGCGGCGGCAGCGGCAGCACCCGACCCCGCGGCGCCATTTCGCGTCCCGCCGCTCGGGCAGAAGGACGCCCCCACCGGGCGCCCCGAGGCCCGCCGGCCCCGCCGCGGGAGACGTGGCAACGCGTGGCGGGGGGCGGGACCGCAGCGCGCGGCAGCACGGCGCACGCGCCTCGCCGCGGAGGTTGCCGGGAGTTGCAGTCGGCAGCGGGGCCGGCGGGCGCCCCGTTCGTCGGCGGCCGAGGCTCGGGTCGCCTTTTCCCCGCGGGGCCGGTTCGGCCGGTCCGCCCGTGGTGCTCGGAGGGGCCGATCCGCGGCGCCGGGGCTCGGCGGCGCTTCCCGTCGCTGCGCGCGGGAAGGTGCCGCGTCGTCACCCGTCGTCCCCGGCGGCGGGAGGGAGTGGCCGGAGGGCCGGGCCGGGCCGGGCGGCGGGGCCGGAGCGCCGCAGTCGCCGCCCTCGCTCGCCGGTCCGACTGCAGCGGTGTGGGCCCGAAGCGGCCGGGGCAGGTGCGGGGCTCGGGGCGCTGCGGGAGGCCGGGTCCCGCGCGGGGGGGCGCGGAGGTGAGAGCCGGCGGGGCCGGGAGAAGCCGGCAGGGGGTCGAGCCATCCGCCTGGGCCGCGCCGCTACCGCGTCGCGCGTGAGTGCGGATAGAGGCTCCGGGCCGAGGCCCCGGCACCCCCGCTCCGGGCGGGTTCCCCTGGCAGCCCTGCGGCAAACAGCCCTGGCCGGCATCACGTACGTTTCCGCTTGGCTGCCGTGGCGCGTTGTGGTGCGCGGTGAGTCACCGGCTGCCCTGCCCGGCTGCCTCCAGAGGGTCCGGGTTATCCGGCTCCGACCCGGGCGACCCGCGCGGTGCCGGTGTCAATGACCGCGGGCACTGACCGGCCTCCACTCGAGGAACGGCTTCTGTCTGACAGGCGGTGCTGCCGTGTCAGTTCAGGCGCTGGAGGCACTGCTGAAGTGAATTGCCCTTGATTTTAGTGATTCTCTATCTCACAAAAAGAGCTTTTTTTTTTCTTCTTTTTTTTAAAGAGAAAAAAAAAAAAAAAACAACCAACAAACCAGCATCTGGAAGTGCAGCAGCTGTTGCATCTCGTCATATCTACAGCTCCCTGAAAGTAAGCAGTGTCAAGTGGGAGTTGGCCTCTTCTCCCAGCTGACAGTAATTGGCCCAGTGAGAATGGCGTTAAGTTGCACTGGAGGAAGTTTGGGTTGGATATTAGGAAATACTGCTCCTCTGGAGGAGAAACAGTACATTGGGCTGCCCATGGAGGTGCTAGAGTCACTGTCCTTGCAGCTGTTGGAGAACCGTGTAGATGTCTCACTGAGGGAACGGTTGGTAGGCATGGTGGGAATGGGTTGCTGGTTGGACTAAATGATCTCAGAGGTCTTTTTCAACCTTAGTGATTCTGTGATTGTATACTGAATCAGTAGTTCTTAATTGTGGTCAATAGTAATGGGAGGTCCTGGGAACTATACTGCCTTTGTGATATTTAAGAAGAAAAACTTGACAAAATTTTATGTGTTATGGATCCTAAGGGTTAGCAGTATACAAAGAATGTAGGGAACAAAATAATTCTCAGAAGATTAGAAAGCTTTTAGACAAGTAAAAATACTTGATTTATATATTGCTTACAGTGAAATTTCCTTTTTTTTTTTTTTTTTTTTTTTTTAACATTATACGTGAGCTATGATATCCTTATCAGCAATAGGGCAAGTCCCTCTAGCACACCTGGCATTTCGGTCTGTCTTGGTGCTGTGATAGGTCTGAAGAACACTGGGTTCTGCTTGATAGAAAACTTTTTTTTTTTTCTTAAGTGAAAAATATTGTGAGTGTTTTGATTACAACTATTTTTGTTATTAGTGTGAAATAACTGTGGGAAGGTTCTGTTCTTTTTTTTTTTTGTATATTATGTGCCTCACTTTGGACTTGGGAGTGGTCATTTAATAACGGATAATTAGACTCACAATCCCTGCATGCCCTTCCTTTGGCTTCCGTGAGGCTTTGTGTGTCCTCTGGCACCTTCCTGCAGGCACTGAAGGGAGTTCTGTCCCTGTCCTTCTCTCTCTTTCTAACACAGAATAAACCAACGTGAGGAATATTTTGAATGAAGGTTTTATACTCAGTGTACTTAGAACACAAACAGGGTGTTTTTGATTGGGATCAGCTTCACTTCATCTTCAGTAGGATGCCTTCTTTTTTATTATTTTCTTTTTTTGTGTACATCTTGATCGTTCTGTTTTTAGCATCTTTTCGTCAAACCTGTATGACTTCTTGGTCTTTTGTGTTCCCTTTGGTCTCTTACTGTGTTCAGCAGAATTTTGTGCCTATGACACACTTAATGCAACCTGGGATGTAACATGGTGGAGTCGCTGTCCCTGGCAGTGTTTAAGAGGCGTCTGGATGAGGAGCTACAAGATATGGCTTAGTGGTTTATAGTAGCACTGGCAATGGGAGGTCGGTTGGACTAGATGATCTTGTAGGTTCTTTCCAACCTTGTGATTCTATGACTCTATGAAATAAGTAACTGACTGCTGCTTGTTCTGGAAAGCTGCCAATTTGTGTGAAGCAGGGCAATGGTCGCATACACCAGTGACGGCTACACACGTTTTAAGTAAAACAGATATGCGTATTATGATTTAAACGTGAGAAGTTTAATAGCATTTGAGATCAGTATTCCAACTACTATTTTTCATTTCAGGCTCTGCTTGAAAAAAACAGTATTGTCCCTTCAGGCTCTTAAATGTATTGGTTTTTTTTTTTATTAGCAGGAGTGTCTACTGAAAGGCAAGAAGGGGTTAATAAGAATGGCAGAAAATATGACTGAGCATAAACTCTGAAGCCTGTCTGATTTCTGGATAATGTCGTCTTATTCATGTGAAATTTCTTATCTCCACTTGTAGGTAATCTTACCATTAACTGTCAATTTCTGTATTTTAGACTAATAACCTGAAGAACAGTTTTGAAGTATGGTAGTGTCATTGAGATTATTGCAAAATACTGAAACAAATGCAATTACTTCCTATTAAACTTAAGTAAAGAAAATGATTAACTTGCTTGTTCAATCTCTAAATCAAATCAAAAGCAGGGCTTCCTGCTTTTAACGTGAGCTCTGTTAAAATTTTCAGTTAGATCTGGAGTCCATAGTTTCCCTTGGTGTATACAGACCTTGCCTTTGGGAATTCAGCTAGGGGCTGAGGTCTGACTGTTGAGAATCAGTATGGTTACTTCTCAGCTACAGAGTGGCCTTCTGGGTCTGGCCATATTTTTTAAACCAAATAACTGTTGGGAACTCAACATGATTTGTGCTGCTTCTTAGAGGGGTTTATTTAAGGATGACTGAACATTGTACACACAGAGTTGTTTTTTTCTTTTTTTTCTCTGTATTTATTTTTCCTATTTTCTCTGTATTTATTTTTCCCTTCTTTTGATTTTGTAAAAGTATAAATGAAGATTTTCTTATATGTGGTGAGTCTATCAAATTTCTGCAGTCAACTTCTGGTTACAAATCAGTAGATGGCAGTACTGATGTAATTTTTGCCTCTTTGTACATACTTCAGTTTGGTTGTTTCAGAATTTTTCCTTTGTCTCTTTAGTTTATTCATACAAAGTGTTCCTGTTTGCAAGGAGGAGAAGTTGTCTATTTTATTGTTGTTATTTGCTGGGTTTTTAAAGTAATTTTTCCATCTGCTTCTGTTTCATTATGTGGCTTTATTTTAAAAATCTTTACTGACCATAAAGCAGCACTAGAGGAAAGGGGCAAAACAAATAATTTAGTAAAGCTGACATTATGTGCATGTGTTTTTTGTCTAAGCAGCCTAACTTGCAGATGTGCAGCACGGCTGGCTGTGATGAACGTTTCATAGAAAGTTAGATGCATTAAAAATGTAAAAGCAGAAAATCTCACTGTAGCATTCTGTAATGATTTATATCCTTAAGAAATGAAACTGAATTTTTGAGAGCTCTTAGCAGTTAATTCTGTTGTGGCCTGGAGTGTAAATAATGATTTTTTAAAAAGTATTTATTTGTTTATTTAGAAACCACTTAAGCACAGTCTAGTTCTGCATTCAGTAGTAACAAGGAGTTTTGGAATTTAGAGAATTCTGGAATTTCTGGAGCTTTTATTCTTCATCTTCTTTGAGGGAAGTTGGAAACCCTCACTGGAAAGTTTGTTGAGGACTGAAAACTGTTGTTTTCAATCTTTTGTTTCCTTGGTTTTTTGTTTTGTTTGTTTGTTTGTTTCCATTCTTCCATGTCTCTTACATACTGCTTGCTTCCTGATTTCTGATATACAGCTGTGTTCAGGCAGGCCATTTATATTCAAGTGCTAATCCATATGTGCTGCGGACTTAGTTTTACTTATATACCATGGTGGATTCTTTTGACATGATGAGCTATTATCTCCCATTTACATCCGTTATAACTTTTTTCTTTCCTTATCTTTTGCATACTGTCTTTCTTTTCTTCTTAACCATTCAAAAGAAGACCCCCCCAAAAAAAAAGTTCATGCAGCACATGCAGACTGCTGCTGGCTTATGCTGAGAACTCAGTGTTTAAAAAGCTGCTGTTTGTGCAGGCTGCCAAGTCAGAACTTCACAATGAGTTTGATAGTAATGTGACATTTCTCAGTCCTGTGTTCTTTGGATCTTGCTCTGTTTCCCTCTTGAGGCTGCTTAGACAAGTGCGGAAGAGTATCTTGGGATGGAAGGAACTCGGGAAACAGGAGTAGGTGGAAAATGTGAGAAGCTGGATGAGCCACAAGAAAAAGACTGTGGGAGCATTTAGATTTCAGAGTTCTGTTGGCAAAGGGTTGGGAAGGTGGGAAGGAAGAGAGTGAAGGATTGGAAAGGGGGGAGCAAAATATTGCAGGTAGCTGTTGTTGTGTGCTATGTGTGAGAATTAAGGAGTTTGTTTGCCTTTCCACCCAACCAGTTATAGAAGACTGTGGTTTGTACTTGGGTCAGAGGATAGGCAGAGGGAAAACAGAGCAGCGTGCTTCTGATGGTACTGCTCAGAGGGCATCCAGCTTGTTGAGGACAGTGCCTAGCAGTGAGTACTCAGAACCATAGGGCCCAAGGTAGGGGAGCAAGTCCTGCAGCTGTCAGACTGTACTCCTCTCTCATGCTGTCTGCTGCTTTTGTGGGTTGTTGGCTATCTCACAGAGGTGGGCAAATGAGGAGAGAAAATGTGAAAACAACAGCAGTTTTATTTGTTTGTTTGAATTCAAACTTCAAGTTCTTTGTGGAGTTCTTCAAAAGAGGCTCCCTGGAAACTCTTCAGTCACTCTACATGGCCACAATAGTGAACTATGTTATTAGCTGAAATTAAACAGCGGATCAGCAGAGAATTGATAAAACAGAATGTTTCTAGGAGATTTTGGCCAGTGATCAGTTGCTCAGTGGAAAATTCCTTTGTGCTTTGCAGTTGGTAGTTGGAAGAAGAATGACTTCAGAAATGCTTTTACAGGAGGGAATGTAAACTCATATAACTTGATTAAAAAGCAGAATCTTATCAGAATGAACTCTTCTACATTGTGAAGTTTAACAGAAGGCTGGGTGCAGTTCCTTTCTAAAGGATGATAAGGCGGATGTACTAATTTTGTACAGACAGCCTGGACCCCACCAACTACTGTCCTGCCCATCCTGCCTAAAGAGAGGCTTTTAAGTGGATTAAAGAGTTGTTTTCATTTTTTTAAAGCTATTTTGTTCTTATTTCTTTGAGAGAAAGAGGGAAAATGTATTTTTGCAAGTGGAATTCTTTTTATATATGTGAGTTTTTTTAATCGCATTACCTAATCCTTCTCCTCTATGAATTGTTAAGGGAATAAGCTGGCATTTCTCAGTAGCTGCTCACAGAATGGATATTGTGTAAAATGTTTCAGTGTCTCAAAGTTTCATACATGTAATTACTTTTGTAGGAGTTTTCTTCTGTTAAAATTTCCTTGGGGAATTTTATCTCAGAGAATCATGTAAGTTGCTGCTGTGCAACTTACCAGGGTTGGGAGGAAGAAGGGCCTCTGCAACAATGCAAGTATTGCTTTTCTGACTGTTGCCTTTTCTTCTTCTGTAGCTTTATACTTCCATTTTTTTTTTCTTTAATAAGCATATAGCTTTACTTTTTTGGAAGTAGTATATCCACAAGTTTACTCAAAAGAGCTACAAAGTAATTGCAATGTAACTTGGCCTTCAAAATACAAGCACACTGTTTCATTTACTTTCATTTCTGACTTCAAATGGTTTGATTTTTGGGTGGTGCTGTGTGGAGCCAGGAATTGAACTCGATGATCCTTATGAGTCCTTTCCAACTTGGGATATTCTATGACTACTGTTACCAGAATAGTATGATATTTGGATTTTACAGGAATTGTCTGCACTGGAAATCTTATTCAGTGTAGTATTCATAACTCTTTGTGACTAATTTATTTCATTGTATTCATATTTAAAGTACGTTTCATCTGATTTCATTTGGCTTCTGTAAGGGGTAATTTAGCTGACCCTAAAGTTCTTTAATGCAAACAAGGAAACTGCTGGTTAGCAAACTGCTAGACCTTAGGTCACAGACCTAGGAACTTCTGGACTGGCTCCTAGCATTGGCAGCCATGCTAATACTGTTCATGGAGTCTTTGGCTCAGGTATGATGCTGAGGAGCATCTTCTGAAATGCCTAAACCTGAGATGGCTACAACTTCTTGGTTAGTCATGGTTTGCTTCTGCCAGAATGGGAGAGGCTTTGGTCCTCTCTCTTGCCCTTTGTAATGTTTCGCATCTTTCCCTGTGGCCAGCTCTGAAAATATCAAGTCCTTGATTGAATTGTTACTGCTCAGTAATGCAGCAAAATGCTACCTGAGCATTTTTTTGACCTTTTTTTTTTTTTTTTTTACAATGGGATGAGGGATTTGATTTGTTAACTATTTCTGTAGTTTTACTCATCTAAACACTATCAGCATGTATTAGAAATAGTAACTGAGTATGCTTGGTAAGATTTTTAGGAAGAGGCTTGGAATCTGACTTATTACAGCTAAAAATAAGGATAAAGCGTAGGAGAGGAGAGACAATTGTGTGCTTGAGATTAGTTTTTTTCCCCCCCCTGGAGATGGAATTTAAATTACCCCCTCTGTAGGATAACGTAAGTTACTGTGTTGTGGCCCTCATATTTTAGTTGAAAAATCTTTGTCATATTTCTGAAGGTAGGCTTTAAAAAATTTTTTTTTCTGACAGGTTTTTGTAGCTGAAGGAAAATGATGGAAGAGAGCGGAATAGAGACAACTCCACCTGGAACACCCCCACCAAGCACAGCAGGATCTACTGCTGTCTCTGCTACACCTGTCTCATTAGGTAAAGAAACTTATTCTGCAACTTAATCACATTTAATCATGTGTTTTGAAGTGCAGCAGTTCATCCAAAAATGTATCACAATCAGCATGATTACAGTGCAGTCTGGATTAATTTGGAGAATTAAAATTATTTTTTAATCATTGAAGTTTGCTTATCTGGCATATATTTGACATACAGAATATTTTAGATGTATTTTTGTTCTTGAATTTTTTTTATGAAGTTACATGTGTACATTTACGGTTTTTAAGGATATGAGTCCAGAAAAACTGTAACTTACACTGCAGTGCACAATTAGAATATCAACGTAGAAAGGAGTTAAAAAACAAATTTACACTCTGTTAAGGAATAGTAGTAAGCCTGGATAATCATTTTCTTAATACTGTAGGTGGAAATCAAAGCCATGTGTGCATTATATCTGTATTTTTTTCAAGAATCTGAACAGCATGTTCTGAATGCCAAATATTTCATTTTTTTTTCTGGTACATCTTCTAATTTGTGCAATGACCTCCAAAGTGCTGTGTGTTTACCCTATGGGGTGTGTAAGGCAATCCACTACACTGTGGGAAGAAATCATTAGAACTTCTGTTGATATGTATTTTTATCCATTCCAGTCCCTGCAATTCGGTGAAGTAATAAAACAACCTTTATGAGTAATATTTGCCTTAGCCTTGTAGCATTTACTCGATTCGTCTGTTTGTCAGTGACATGTTGTACGTGAGATGTCCTGATGAAAGAGTGGGTGTTCCCTAACACAGAGGGCTTGAACAGTATCACTCTTGCTGGGTCACTTCCCATGTATTGCAGTGAGGGTTAGTGGATTATGAATTATGTTATCCAGTTTTAACTAAACTAACCCTCACAAAATGGACATGTGGACTAGAAATATTGCAGTGAAGAGATCACAGATTGATGATAGTGTTAATTATGTGAATGTCAGTAAGCAGCAAGGAAATGACAGAGATGACGCTTCTGCTCCGCATAAGAGTATTTGTCAGATCTAAGAAGAGGTTGTCCAACCGTCCTACCACCAGGATAGCCCCACTAAATCACACGTCCCTTAGTATCATATCTACACATTTCTTGAACAATTCCAGGAATGGTGACTCGTCCACCTCCTTGGGCAGGGGAGCCAGAAGCGCGAAAAGTGCTAGAGAATGTTTCTGATGTGATTGATTTTATAAGAACAACTTCTAAATGGTAGAATCTTTACAATACTTTGAGATGAGGGTTTATCATGAACATCTTTTGTACCACACAGATGTTTGCTGGCTGCTTTGTGGCAAAGTGCTTAAAAGAGTTGTTCAGCTTAAAGATGAGTTAGAATCATAGAATTGCTCAGGTTGGAAAAGACCTTAAAGATCATCAAGTCCAACCACAACCAAACCATACTACACTAACTCTAACAACCCTCCGCTAAATCATGTCCCTGAGCACCACATCCAAGCGGTTTTTAAACACATCCAGGAATGGTGACTTAACCACCTCCCTGGGGAGCCTGTTCAAATGCTTAACAACTCTTTCTGTAAAGAAGTTTTTTCTGAGTTGCATATTTTTCTTTTCTAAAAAGACAAATTTTCTGACCTGTTCTGTAATGACAGTGCCAGCACTGTTACCTAGCAGATACTTTCAAAACAGGTTCTTTGGAAATGTTTCCATCATTATGTAATCCTTCTGCTGAAAATGATGCAAGTATATACCCTATACAAACTCTTATGTCTATACTTTGATAACTTATTTAAAAATCTTCAAAAGAATGAGTTTGTGGATTTTGAGTGGATTTTGAATCCTTTTGTTAAAATATTAAAAAATCAACATTATTGTACATTCTGTTTGTTTCTTTTAACTTGCATGAATTTACAAGCTGAATTTCAAAAAAAAACCTTTGTGTAATTGGTGAATGGGAATGGAAAATGAGTATCCTATTGTAGAAAGCACAGTGAGTGATGTGCTTCCTCCATGTGGATCTATGTATTTTTGTGAAGCAGTTTTTCCAGCTGTGACAGATACTAAAATCACGTGTCAGAATAAACTGACCATGAGACCAGACCTTTGAATCACTCTATTGCAAAGTGTTAAACCAAGATTTTAAATAATAGTGAGGCTTTTCAGTCACATTTTTCTCACTAAAAATTCAGTATTAATAATAGTATTATGTGGTATATTAATGCTTGAATTGAAAGCATAGGATACTGTCCCCACATAGCATCCTTGTCTCTAAAATGAACAGACATGGATTTGATAGGTGGACCACTCAGTGGATAAGGCTTGGTGGGATGATTGCACTCAAAGAGTTGCTGTCAGTGGCTTGATGTCCAAGTGGAATCCAGTCATAAGCAGTGTAACACAGGAGTTAATATTGAGATTGCTGCTATTTAATGTCTTTAATGCATGGAGTGTGGAATTGAGTGCACTTTCAGCAAGCTTGTGGGTGACACTGAGTGGTGAGATCAGTATGTTGGAGGGAAAAGATGTTGAGCAGAGAGATCTTCACAGGCTTACGAAGTGGGCCTGTGTGAACCAAATGAGATTCAAGTCCAAGTATAAGGTCCTCAGTCTGGATCAGGGCAATCCCAGAGCTGAATACAGACTGGGACAAAAGCTTTTAGAGAATAGACCTGCAGAGAAGGACTTGGGGATTATGGTGAATGAAAAGCTTGGTATGAGCCAGAAGAGTAATGGCTTTAAACTGAAAGAGAAGAGTTTTAGGCTAGCTTTTAGGAGGAAATTCTTTACTTAGAGTGTGGTGAAGCATTGGAACAGATTGCTTAGAGGAGCTGTGAATGCCCCAACCTGGAGATGTGCCAAGCCAGGTTGGATGGGACTTGGGCAGCTTGGTCTAGTGGTAGGGGCTTTGAAAATGAATGACCCTGCAGGTCCCTTTCTACCCAAGCCAACTGTGCATGTGCCCAATTACTGTTTATAGTACATACTGATAGTATTTAGATGAGTGATGTTACATTTCAGGAAGAACAGTGCTAGCTATAAATTTCTAAGGCAGCCTTCAGCATCTGTTAATTCAGAAGACAAATGCTAGCTCATCTTCCTAGCTTAAGGCAAATAGAGTAATGCAAAGCTGCATGGCTTACATAATACTGTCACTAAGAATTGATTAAAGTCAATGTTTTTTGCAAATTTAGGCAGAACTAAAATTCCCTGTGAAGGGCAAAAAGCAGACAATTTCAAAACTTGCTTGTAACCAATCCTCTAACTGAATCAGTTAGGTTAAGGCTTAATATTTCTAAAATGCTTTTTTTCTTCTTCTCTCTCCTAGCTTTATCCAGTCCGCTTGCTACACCGAGCATATCATCTCCAGCATACTCTCCACCTTTGCCAGCTGCAGTGGCTCCACTTCCTCCTCCTATAATGACTTCAGCTACACCTTCATTCGTGCCTTCTGCAGCAGTTTCTACTATTGCTCCACCTCTGGCTCCTGCCCCAGCTCCTGTTACCTCTTCAGCTTTTAGTACCTCTCTGCCCCAGTTCTCTGCACCTTCTCCATTAAGCTCTACAACTGGTTCTGGTCTTTCTGTACCTCCCACTGGTCCACCCATCTCAGGGTTTTCTCTGTCTTCAACCTATGATATTACCAGAGGTCATGCTGGTCGAGCGCCACAAAGCCCACTGATGCCATCATATTCTGCACCTCCAGTCACAGGTAACTTTTTTTTTTCCTTTTTGTTTGTATGTTTTTATATTGATGAGACAGAATGAGGGATCTCTTGTGTGTTTTTTTTCCACCACTCTGCTAGAGTCCTACAAATTCATATTTTTAGTATTCCAGGTACATTTAATTAATGTAGCTGCATGTGGCAGAAGAGAGAGTAGCCTTTAGAACACAGACATGGTCTGGAACAGAGTTCCCTTTTGCTAAATTGTACTAGCATCTAGACTTACAGAAAAACCATTTTTTGAGAGCTGTGGTTTTTGTTAACTTGCAGAGGAAAGTCCAGTTGAACATGAACAGAGAATCAATTTCAGCCATTGTAGCAGTACCTCAGGCTGTAATCTCATATATAATTTATCTATAGTAAACTGCTCATCCCATGAGACCAGCTTCTGTTTTCTTGTTTCCAGTCACTAAATCGCATTAGGACAGCTAAGAATAAACATCTTTCATGCAAATGGTTGCTGTAGTTGCTGAACTGATGTCATTTTTGCTAGTGGAATGGAGACTTGGCTGTTGGCTATCAGGCTATGGTTTTACTGTTGCTGGTGATATCCCACTTTTAAGTGGTCTCTATTAAGAAAATGTTGAAAAAGACCTCTCATTTGGACAATGTAAGATTAAAAATAACTCTTGATTTCTTGTATTGGAAAATCATTAAAATAGGCCTAAGTTGTAGGGTGAAGGCTCATGCTGAATTTTTCTATTGTTTTTCTTTTGTCTTTTTTAAAATACATAAAGATTTTTGGTTATTTGCTCCTTTTTCTATTGCTACTGTTTTCCAGTGTGCAAGGTTAGAAATTTTCCTACCTCTTTTTATTGTGTATGAGAACATTCCTGTCTCTTTGTTCAAAGAGCAACACCCATTTCTCTTTTTCCTCTACAGAGGGCTTCTAATGAATATCTAAGTACAATAAAAAGCACCACTATTAAACTAACCTGCTAAGAAAAAAAACATTGTTTAATTTTACACGTAATGTACAGGCATTCTTGGTTCTATTGGTAGACACTGTTGAACTCATTTACAGTGGTTATATCTGCTAACCTTAAACAAGCAGAATTGTTCTGTTCAAGAAATGAAGCAAATCTGCCCAGTATTCTTTTATTCTTCCTGCACAATTTCCTTTTAAACAATGCAAGCTGCTGCATTTTAAACAATTTAGTACAGCAAAATAAATGAACATTTGGGTTTTATTTCTCCTTCTTGCTAGGTGTTTTGGCAGATCCTATTACTCAGCAAGCATCTTTCTCATCACCTTTGGCTTCTGGAACAGGAAGTGGTTCTGCAATCACTTTTCCTGAGGAGCATGAAGACCCCAGAGTGTCTACTGCCCAAAGTGGAGCACCTGCTGGAGGTCTGTGGGGGTTTATAAAGGTACGTTGTTTTTTTTTTTTTTGTTACCCTTCACAAGGAGTTGTGACTTCTTACTGACTGTAGTAAGATGTATGTAGGTCAGAGAATGAGGAATTGTTAATTATGACTAAACCATAATGTTCTCAGTGTGGTAGTGCTCTTGTTTTCTAAAGATCAGATGGAATCTGGGAGGCTAATAAGTAATCACTGCAGAAATACATCCTGGATTCCCTGCTAAAGAACTAGCATCATAGTTACAGCAGTTATCCTTATTTCTATTCTGAAAATAGTCTTAACTTTATTATGCTTTTTTATCTCAGGTGTTTTTAACTAATCATTTATCTTTCTTACAGATTTCCTTCAAATTAGATAATGCTTAAAAGAATCTAAAATTGACAGATTGTTGGATTGGAATAGAATGAGACTATTTCAGTTCCCTGAATCTGTCTAAGATGGCAGTCTTACAGATAAGTTCCAAAACTGGTTGCATATAGTGTATTAGAAGCAAAGTTTGATACTAACGTAATCACTACACCCCACATCTTGAGTACTTGTCTAGTTGAGCAATTGAGGCAGTTAGTACCTGAATTTTCAAGAGATTTGTATTTGCAGTCTGCCAATATGGAAGATTCTCCATCTGTTTGGATTTCTGTTGACTTAGCATTGACTTGATAGAAATTCCAAATCTAATTGCATTACGGTTCACAGTGTTGTGACAACTTTGTGTTCTGCATTGATAGAAAAATGTAGATTATTTTTCCCTGCTTTGTAATAGATCAGTGACCATAAAAGCAGTCTGCACAGGCAAAAAAACAACTCCAGCTTTTCAGGAACCTGATAATCAGCAGGGACTGTATGTTATAGTTATTAGTTAGGCAGCTAGGCTGGAAGTATTTGGAGAAGTACTGCTTGACTCCAGATCTGGAACTTGTTACTACAAATATTTCTGAGGATCTCATAGTATTCCCTCAGTTCTTTTTACAACAACATTCAAGCTTTCAAACTGTGAGGGAACTGAAGGAGAAATATTACTGGTTTTGTCCTTGAAGGCATCCTGTGGGTAAATGAGAAATCACAAGAACTTAGATATTAGCAGATGGATGCTACCATTCAGAAAAGTTGCTGGGGTTGTGTGTGTTGACAGGAAAGCGGTTACTGTAGGCTCTGGCTCCAAAACTTTTACTATATTAGCATGAGTAATTGTTTAATTTTCTTTACCAAATTCTGTAACCAGACTTAGTGTTCTGCTCAGTGGTGAGAAGAGCGCATAAACTCAATAGTGAACTATTTCACTGTGAGATGTGAGGAAATTAATCATTATTAGTCATTCTGTAATATCTCAGTAGATGTAGGATTGTGATTTTTTTTTCCCCCTCCGTTAAGCTTGCAACAAAGAAATAGTATTCATACCTATAGGAAAGAAGCCTTGCTAAGGAGAAGTTACTCAGGGATAATTAAAACTTCTCTGATTCTAGAGATAATATACATACACATATTTTTACTATGCAAGTGCTTGTCGAAAAGAATGCATACACAGGGCTACCATGTGTAATGCTTGTCCTGTAGTGAAGCAAATGTAATCACATGCAGTTTAAGTGTTACACTTAAAGGAGTCAGTCTACCAAAGAAATTTTATAAAAGATTTCAGTAAATTGGCTTTCAGGCTTTATCTGTCAGTTACTCAGCACTGCTGTCTTTCTTTCACCCTGTGATCTTACCTGGCTTTAAATAAACTTGTGAAGAGATGCAGACAATCATTAAGACTACTTGCAAGACACAGGGTAGCGTATGTATTTATATTTAATTAGCTTCAAAGTCTGTCAGCAGCTCCACCTATGATTTGGCTGGAGTGTACAGAGCATTTTTTCCAGTATTGTTTAAAAGCTATTTATAAGCTTTCGGCTTAATTGCCCTAAAAATATTTTTTAATAATGGACAATTTAAAAATAGATCGTATTGTCTTTAGGAAGGGGAGAAAAGAGACTCGTTGGCTTAAGTTAGCACAATCTGAATCTAGCTGTGTGGGCTTACCATACCTGTAGTTAGCTTTGGAAACCTACAATCTTACTAAATGCTCAGGGCTTCTGGTCCCAGAACTAGATCAAGTGTGTTGCCTATTACTGCTGTTGAAGATGTTTCTTTTTAAGTCATTCGAGAAATGCATTAATGCAGAAGAGGATGGTATATCAAGTGTATGCTGTACCCAAAGAGTTGTGCAGTGATAGTCTTCTCCTGTAGCATTATATGCTAATGAGTGAGATACACTAGTTGTTAAAAAGGGTAAATGTGATAAGAAAAAGGCAAGACAGGATTTGAAGAGAGTTGTTTGTTTGTTTGTTTTAATTGTAACGGAAGTCTGTCTGATTAAATGTAGGGTGTAGCTGAGAATCCCATGGTAAAGTCTGTTCTTGATAAAACCAAACATTCAGTGGAGTCCATGATCACAACACTGGATCCTGGCATGGTTCCATATATCAGTAAGTATTTGTGACAAACCATTACAAGCATATGTAAATAATAGGTTAATTTAATAGCATGCTTCTTACACATTTGAAGTTCCTGTATGCAGTATGTTAATTCAAAGACAGAATTTTGTACTGATTTCTCAAGCATATTGTCCAATGAACCACTTACTCTGGAGATTGGTTTCTTTTATTTGTGTCTTTAGGTTCATTTGACTTCAGTTCACTGTAGTTCATTTACTGACATAGTAATGCCCTTTTAATATAAATTGTGAATGGTGAGGAAATAATAAATAAAAAAAAAAATCAGTGATGAGGTCTTCTCTGTAATCTCTTTGTTCCATACTTTTTTCTCCCACCTCGTCTCTATTTAAGTGTTATGAAGTTTAATTAAAAGTGTATTCTGTGTATTAATCTTATTGGATTACCTATTTTAATTTTTTGTAAAATTGCACATTAAAATTAAAACAAGTCAAAAGATTGGCAGACTCAGAGATGTAAAATAAAGGTATTTATATGGCTGTAGAGACTTTCTTCCAATTTTGATGTGTTTCACCAGCATTATTTTCTTATTTTTATTTATTTATTTATGTGTTTTTTATTTATTTTGCTGCTCTCGTTGAAAAAATGCACCCTTGGATGATAAAATTATAGATTGTTTTATGTTGGCAGGAACTTCTGGAGGTCTTTTTGTCCAACTCCTCAGCTCAAAAAGGGACTATTAGAACCATATGCCAAGAACTGTGTCCCAGTGGGTTTCGAAGGTATCCAAAGAGAGAGGCTCCACGAACTCTCTGGGTAACCTGTGCCAGTGCCCACCCACACATTGAAAAAAGTTTGCTGATGTTCAGGGAGGAACCATTAGTATTTAGTTTGTGCCCACTGTCTCTTGTCCTAACACTGAACACCTCTGAAAAGAGCCTCCCTCTGTCACCATTGTATCTTTCTGTCATTTATTTGTATACATCGATGAGGTGTCCTGTGAGCCTGGTCTTCTCCATGCTGAAGAGTCACTGCTTGTTCAGCCTTTCCTTGTGAGAGAGATTCCTTGGTCCCTGAAGCATTCGTGTCAGACCAGTGGTTCATCTAGCACAATATTCTGTTTTAGCAGAAGCTATAGGAGGTGCTATTTAGTAAGTGACCACAATGCTGGTGACCACTGTAGCCTGTTCCCTTTGGGCTCAATTATCACTCACAGCCAATAGACTAAAGATGAAAAAAGCCATGTCCTGACCTGTTACTTTTAATGCACGTGGACATACTGTCCATGAGTTTATTTCAGTCCCTTAAACTTGCTGATGCAATTTACTTACTCTGACATATGTCATGTTCGAAAAAAGTCCAAGCTTTTTTTAAGAACCCTTGCTGAAGCAGAGATAAGTTTTCTGAGATATTTTTGCATGTATTAAGTTTGACAGTAAAAATTGTCTAGCTGTGATAGATAGCTGTGAGGTACAACTGAATTCATGAGTCTTTAGAAATATTCTTAGATTTCTTTTAATTCATGAAGCGGTTTTGTTTTATTATAAAAAAAAAGCTTAGTGAAATTTCATTCTTCTGTGTGGAACTCATCCTTTTCATATGGAAATTCTTCAGAAGTATTAACCATTTCTTGGATCCATGGATGTTTAATACCTAAAAATGATACAAAGTTATGGGGAGGAAGGTGAGCAACAGGAAAACGTTAAAATTTGCAGTCCAAACATTAGTAGGAAGTAATGTGATCATTTACTTAAAAGTTTACAAAATTTGACAGTTGTTCACTGGATTCTATTAACTGAATCTGTGTTCTTGATTGCCTTTTTTTTTTTTTTTTTCAGGGTACTGAACATCTCTAAGTTCCTACTGGGTTTTTTTTGTTTGTTTATTTTTTAACCTATAAATCTCTTAGCTCATCATCTAACTTCCTAATTTACATCTGCTTCATGAAAGAACTTCTGTGTGATGTATGAGAAAGAAAATACCAACTGAAGCATACGCTTCAGATGTGGAATATATTTGAACTAGCTTTAATATGAATGTAGAGAAATACATTTGTACAGTAAATATGTTTTTCATTTGTTTTTTTTTTTTTAAAGAAACTGGTGGAGAATTGGACATAGTGGTTACTTCTAATAAGGAAGTAAAAGTTGCAGCAATTAGAGATGCCTTTCAGGAAGTCTTTGGGATGGCTGTTGTTACTGGAGAGGCTGCACAGTCTAACATTGCACCCCAGCCTGTGGGCTATGCTGCAGGTTTAAAAGTAAGTTAATAATGCTGAAGTACCTCCAATGAAAAGAGAGATTGTAGAAACATTTACCTTAAGGAATCTGACTTTCTGTAAAGGGAGATCATCTTGTAAGGTAAGCAAGCCTTTGCTTTTTGTTATCGTTGGATTTTGTGAAGTGGCTTGCTGAAAACAAGTTTTAATTTCTTGCTGTAAATACATTTACAACAGATGAAAAATAGTTTTGTCAACCTACTTACAATTTCATTGGCTGCCTCCCTATTAATTCAGCAGATGAAAGATAACTTGATTAACATCACAGGAATCTTCCCAAACAGATAATTAAGAATAATAATCCTTAAAAAATAAGAATTCACTGTGCAGAAAGGATTAGCAAAAAGTGTTTCATGAGATTTGAAAACAACCAGAATATAAATATATGTAAGGTGTATAGGTGGAACCACCTGCTGACCAATAACCAAAAATGCTGCAAAAAACTATTTAGCATTCTGTTTCTTAAATATAAGAAAATTGTTCACTTATTAATAATGAAGTAATCTCTCCTAACTGATGTGACAGTGTTCACAGCAGCGCTAAGCTGTATGTTTTCTCCACGTCTTTGTCTACTGCTGTGCAGTGGTAGTATTTTGATTACCACCTCAGAGTGATAACAGCCTTGATAACAGGTTCTCCTTTAGTCTTACAGTCTTGGTAAAGGATTCAAAATAGGCAAATCTTATGCTACAGAAACGGCAGTGGGAGTAACAGGAATGTATGCTTTAACTAGTAGTGAAACTGGTTACAGTTACAGCATGCAAGGAATTCCAAAGCTAATGTAGATCTTCTTCATGAAAAAAATAACAAATTTAGTGAGTCTTACAACATTTTTAACTGCTGGGAGTTCCATTCTGAATTTATTTTTTCAATGCTATTTTTACAAACCTCTCATATTTTAACTTGAAAAATACATTCAATTGTTCTTCTTTGCATTTGTTTGCAAGTATTGTGCTGTGCTTTTTTTTGAAGAGACTGTTGCTTTTCAGGGAGCCCAAGAAAGGATAGACAGCTTGCGTCGAACAGGAGTAATACATGAAAAACAGCCTGCTGTGTCAGTGGAGAGCTTCATTGAGGAATTACTTCCTGACAAGTGAGAACGTTAAATATATTCCTATGAGAGGAGGAAAGAAAGTAGAGTGCTCTTTATAAACTTGCAAGGGCCTATGAAGGAGTTATTAGCAGTACGTATCTCAGCAGAAGACAGGAGAGACTCTGTGTTCAGTACTGCTCTGTCAGACTTCATTTTGTTGGTGTTGTTCAGCTTTTTTTCCATATGTCTTGAGAGCTGAATAAACAAAATTCTTGTCTATTTCTTTCATACTATAAAAGTACTGAGCTGACAAAATTAATTAGTTGTTGTAAAACCTGGTATTTGGCTATTAGCTTGCTCACTTTTGTGAACATATTTGGAGGTGTTCTGGCATTTGCAGCAATATGACATTTTCAGATGTTAGATTACAATTTTCCTTTCAGCAAGAATGTACAATTTGTGTTTTTTTTCCCCACAAACATAAATATAAATAAATAAATAATTTTTTTTTCTTTTTCCATCTGCATTTTTCTAAAAGTGATGGAGTCTTGATTCGTTTTCAGTATTCTCTGCTCTTGCTTCATTTTTAAAGTTACATTTAGTATCCTTACTGAAAGATGGATGTTGAATTTTCTGGAGTAAATAGAATTAGGGAGTGTTTTCATTTTAGTTTAATGTTCACTTCCATCTAGTCTAATTGAGATGTTTTATCATGTACATGAAGAAGTAACTTTGATTTCTTTTTCAAAATAATTTCTGTTCTTTTCCTTTGAAATCACTGATTCCTTAGTCAGATATTTTTAATTTGTTCTTAAAGTAGTCAACACGATTGAGCTGGCTTAGGACTGCAAGTAATTGAAAGGAATGCTAGCTTTTCTGCCCACGCTTTACAGCCCCAAAAACATCTTAGTCTTCAATATCAGTTACAGTAGAAACAAAGAAGAACATAACACGTGCTTTAATTCTTATCAAACAGGTGATTTTGAAAGTTTCCGTGCACAGTGTTACGAAAAAAATTTGAACTATTTTTGACCCTATTTTTTCTGCAGTTAAATGATAGGTCATAGTGATAATAATTGATTAATAATGTTTCTGAAGTGAGCATTGTGGTGTTACAGTTCCAGTATGAGGGATCTGGTTTGTATTTTGCTCATATCCTTTCCATACTTAGGCATATGTGAAAGAAAGAAATATATTTCCAAGTAATGATCCAGTTCTCAATTGTCATTGAGAGAGCAGAAAGACATCATTTCCCTTCCAACTACATATGCTGATACTATTTGCAGAAAATATTGCAGTGTTCTTTTTCTGTTACATTTCCCTTCAGATTCAAACTACTTTATAAATTGGGAGCAATTTATTTTTAGCAATGAAGCTGTCTCAACTGTCTGTCATAGTTGCAAATAGGAGTAGTGCTCTATCAGAAGTGCATTCCAGTGCTGTTTCCTCCTATAAAAGAGGCTGGGAGTGGAGCATTTCTTCCACATTTGCTCCACTACACTCTTGTTCTGACATCAAGCTATTGTGACTGCCAGTCATTTCTTAAAATTGGAGTTCTTGTGTTTCTACGCAAAGAGCAAGATTATTGCTTCCCAATCTTTAAAGGATAAAATACAGTTTATACATAATGACATGTACATAAAGCAGTGACTGCAGTATTTTGCTTTCTAAATCTTCTGTGGTTCTTGGCAATGCTTTTGTCTTTCTGATTTTCCTGGAGTGTTTGTCCTCTGGCATCTCAACTGTACAACAGTTGAGTCATTGATGCATTGCTCTTAGTTTTGCTTGGATCTTATCAGTGTTGTGAGTTTGCTGATAGGGAGAAATGATTTAATGTTTTACAAGCTAGATGCAGAAACATTTTCGGTACTGCTTCAATAAGCACTGCCATTTTTTCAGACTGATGCCAAACATTTCCTGTGACTAAATAGCATAAATGTTCATAGTAAGGTTAGACATACCAGAACAGTCTTCTCAATATGCATTGTGAATGAGAAATCAGGTTTTTAATTGTTAGGGAAGGTTAAATTAATGAGGAGCACTCTTGCAAAGACTGTGTCAAAAATGTCCAAAATAATATAATTTACATCCCCCACTCTCCCTCCCTTCTAGTTGTCTTAAGTATTTCCCATCTACACACAGAGATTGTAATTACATAAGAATAAAAATGATTTATACTAATTTTACTTTAGAATTACAACATCTTAATGAGATTTTATTCCAAATACCTGCGTAGTAGAGTTTATTAAATAGTTGAGTTGTAATTTGAGTATTAACATGGTTTTAAACTGAGTACTCAAACGTGAAATAACTTGCATGTTATTGCAGGTGGTTTGACATTGGATGTCTGATTATTGAGGACCCAGTTCATGGAATTCATCTGGAAGCTTTTACCCAGGCAACACCAGTTCCTCTACAATATGTTCAGCAGGTGAGTTTTCAGATTTTTTTTTTTTTAAACCAATGGTAGATTAACAGTTCAGGCATAAAACTTCAATTTTAATCACCTTTATGATGTCAGTTCTTACTGTTGCTCCATTTGTATCTTTTAGCTTGTGAAATGAAGATAAAACATGCTTCTAAGTCATGTGTATGTACTACCTGAAGTGTTTAGTCCTTTTAGGCAAAGTAAGCTTTGTTTGAGAGTCTCATTCTGCATTATTTAGCATATAGAAGTATTAGTTTTACTTTTCTATTAATCAACAAGAATTATGAAAACAAATTAACTGATAGGAAATAATAGCAAAAAAAATTATCCAAGAAGTAGTCGTCCCTCCAAAATGGAATATAATTGTATCATTGTTATATTTCCATCTCTCTGGCTCAGTGACTAAAAATAAACGTTACCGACCTTTAAATAGGTAAAATAAGGATACTCTCACTTCCTCAGGTGAGAAGGGAAAGCTTTGCAGCTCAAATGATGCACTAAACAAGTGCACCAAGTGCACGAGGTAAGCGCTCTTACCCATCCAAAGATGTGCTTTCCTTTTTTTTTATTAACTTACTTTGCATAAGTTTTCGAGTTTCATCTAATCTCAGCAAAATTATGCAATACTGAATTGTCTGTGAACACAGGAACGTTTTTTCAACTCAGTGAAATAGCTAATGTTCCATTTAGGCATAAGCTGAGATCACTCAGCTTTTAATAAGTGTTCATGATACTTAGGTATTAGGTGGCTTATTACCAGCAAACTGGTAGCATACTGTATTGGCTAGTGTTCTTAGAACTCATTCCTAGTAGATATCTCTCTAGAACTGTGCACAAGCTTGATGCCACTGTGAACAAACAGATTCATACCTAAAAAGCAAGTCAGATATCCTGTTTTGACTATGCTATTCTGACAAAGGTTTGAATTTTCTGAAATATAAAAATGGAAGTCTTTGGAAAAATTGTGTTTCATCCTGTTGAAAATAAGCTAGGACTATGTAATTCTTAAATAACACCAGTAGCATTTTTTCATGAGATAACTTACATTGCCTGGACTTGCACTAGGAATTTCTCCAAATTTTGCCCACTACATGTTGCTTGACAGATACGAGCCATATGTTAGTTCTGAAATTTATTTTTACTGGTTCTGTAAAGAATTAAAAAAACAAAACAAAAAAACCACGCCTGTTTAGTGTTTGATCCATGTGAGGTTGTTTTGAGAAGACAAATAGCAATTGTTCTTTTTTCTTTGTTTGGTAATACCAATTCCAGTAGAGTGATCACTTACTTGATTGGTTTTAGTTCTTATTTTTCAGAGATGTTAGAACTATGAAAAGCTGATGAGTAACAGTTGAAGAAATACTGCTCTGTTTAGTTTTCCACAGTATTCTCAGTAGGGGTGCAGAAAGACATGAAGCTTCAGGAAAAATTGCTAATTAGTGCTCACTTCCCTTAGTGAAGTTGTATTTGCCTACCTGAAAATAAGCACAGCTGTGTGAAGTTACTGCATAAACTGTCACAAGTCTACAGATCATTGATAGGAACTAAGCACTTTTTTAACACAGAACACAAAGCTGATGTTTGCTTTTGTTTTGTAGAATACATTTTGTTATTTAAATGCAGTTGTTAATAGCTTGACTTTTAGAGTAATTTTTTCATAGAATCACAGAATGTTTTGTGTTGGAAAGGACCTCAAAGCCCACCCAGCCCCAACCCGTGCCATGGGCAGGGCTGTTCCCCCCAGCTCAGCTGCCCAGGGCCCCATCCAACCTGGCCTTGAGCACCTCCAGGGATGGGACACCACAGCTTCTCTGGGCAGCTGTGCCAGGGCATCACTGCCCTCTGGGTAAAGGATTCCCTTGTAATACCTAATCTAAGTCTCCCCTTTTTTAGTATAAAACCATTCTGCCTTGTCCTACCACCATCAGACTATATAAAACTCAGTCTCCCTTTTTATAAACCCCCTCACGTACTTGAAGGCCACAATGAGGTCTCCCCAAAGGCTTCTCCTCTACAGGCTGAACAAGCCAGCTCCCTCAGCCTGTCTTGAGAGGAGAGGTGCTCCAGCCCTTTTATCATCCTCATCATCTCTTCTAGACTCTCTTTAGCAACTCCATGTTCTTCTTTTGCTGGGATCCCCAGGCGTGTACCTTAAGACTCGTAACAGCAAGACTAGTGAAAAATTATAATTAAATTAATTCATTCATAATGCATGGCAAATCACTGACCTTTTGATTTTTTGCCTTCAGCATATGTGTTTGTTACCTTTATTCCTGTTATGCATCTTCTAGAATCAGTTTCTCTCAGGGTTGTGCAAGAAACTTTTGTATAAATCCAGTACAATATCTTTACATAAAATTTAAATTGCAAAGGGAAAAAAGTCATTTTATAGTTGCGTTTATTACTAAGAACAGAGGAGAAAGATGCTTTAGATGATAAATGTTATTTGTTTTTCACAGTACAAAAGATTTAATATTAGACATGAGAAAAGCAGTTATGTTCTTCATAATTCTCACTGATGATGTGTTTTATTCTTTTATGTAATTGGAATAGTGATAAAAGCATCTATATAGAATGTACATAGAATGTAACTTTTCAGAGTTAGACTACCATGTGGACCATAATGGAGATATTGTAGTTAGATATTCATTCCCTACATCCAGGTAGATCATTTACTTTTTACTGACAGTATGTTCTGACTAATTAGAACAAGTATTGAATTTACTTTTCCCTTTCAGAGGAGTCTGCCTCTTGTGTACTTTTTGGTAACAGATTATTTCCATATTGGAGCAGACTGGACATTCTTACAGACTTACATATGCTGTTATTTTACAAGGCAGTAAATGAACTTTGGTCTGCTGTACATACAGTGGAAACAGGATAACTCGGTTATTTGTCAGAGAAAACCTGTATGAAGAATTTGGCTAGTTTTGCAATGCTGTGAAGAAATAAATAATATTCAGAAGAGTCCTACTGAGGCTGGAAGCCTACTCATCTTTATATGCAAGAGTGGCCAGAGGTCGGTGCCTCGAATGAGCATGAGAAGAGATAAATGTGGTGATGCTTACACCACTATTTTTCCTCTGTATCCAGCATCAGGGAATTACAGAGTGTGCTCCCTCGGTGATCTTGGGTATAGCTCTGTACTGATTTTCTGCCAGACTCAGGTGTTTTGTTACTTATCTCTTTTGAAGGGGACAATTTAACCATCTTGGGAGGGTAGCAGTTACTTTTTTTTAAAAAAAAGTAAATATTTGGCTTCTTCAAAAAAGAAAACTATTTAATAGTAATGATAGAATTTCTTTATGCTCTTATATATGTTATTTTAGCTTTGAACTGTTCAGATCACATTTGGATTGTAGTACACACATCTCACAAAGTCTAATTAGTGTTCTAAATTATGGGGCAGTATGAAATGTGGATTCTGATATTGTCTTATTTGTCATGTAATCCTGCTGATGTGAGAAGGATTCTTCTGAAAGTTGCTAGTGGTGAAGAGAGAAATAAAAGTTCTGATTTCATACCTTTGAATAACCACTTCTCAAAATGTTATACAGGCTAAGAGTCTCACGCCTCAGGACTACAATCTGAGATGGTCAGGCCTGTTGGTGACAGTGGGTGAAGTGATTGAGAAGAACCTACTGAACATCAACAGGACTGATTGGCACGTCGTGTTCACTGGCATGTCCCGCCGGCAGATGATCTACAGTGCAGCCAAGGCTCTTGCAGGGATGTACAAACAACATTTGCCACCTCGGACCGTTTGAAAGAAGATTGATCCGTGACGATAAGGAATACTGGTTTTAGTCCTGGAATTGTAAAAGTTACATATTCTGATTCTGAGTGGGGATACAGCACAGATTTATAATCTACTTGTAAACTGTATATTACTTTTTGAGAAGTGAAGGTAGTTTCCAGTAGTGGAAATGAGTAATTCCAGATTTTGATAACTATGTGATTTCCAATATAATTCATAAAAGAGGAGATCAGAACAAACATATTTATAACTAGGATAATAGCGTAACAGTTTATAAAGTGGAATGTGCTATTACTTGACACCTTAAAAGGCATTTGGTGTGATGTTTAATACTTTAGTTACTCGGTAACTTTTTTTAAAGATGGGGATTGTTGTTTAGCTACTTTTCTTATGTTAGTAATATAAACATGTTGACAGCATAATATATATGTTGTACGTGCATTTCAGTGTAGGGAGGCAACTTCTGTAATAGATGTTTCCTTAAGGCCTGTGCTTAAGTGGTACACTTCACACCACGGAGGTTTGGTGTACATAAGTAAGTTCTCAGGACTGAAGCTGAGTAGTTTTAATAACATGCAACAGTAAATTGCTGAAGAGCACAAGTCCATGCCCAGGTGGTTGAAGTCTGGACTAATGAATTTTTGAAATACAATTTTTCAAACTGCATCTCTTTTTTCTTTTCCCTCTTTTTTTTTTTTTTCTTTTTTTTCTTTTATATATAGCTTTTCTGTAGCAGAGATGTGATTCATCTCCAGTTAAAACACAGATTCACAGATTTATTGTTGCTTCTGTGGCTTTTAGATCAGATACCATATACACATGAAATTATTTCAGCATTGCATTTCAACAACATAATTTACTACACTATTTCCAAACTTCAAATTTTATATGTAATTATTTAGTTTCTTCTATTAAGTTACAATTGTCAACAATTTGATCTAGAAAATGGTGGGATGTATATCACTTGCTTTGTTATCCAGCATTTTCTATATATTTGTAAGTCTTAAATGCATTATTGTTGTCATGGGCTGTTTTTTATAAAAGTTTCTGGTCTTGTCTGATTTTTTTCATGGTTAAGAATATCTTCTATCCATGCTCACACAATCTGAAATCTTTATTCAGAAATATGGAAGTAATTGTGAAGAAAATATTTTGTTAATAATACTTTTTTTAAGAAACAAAGAATAAACAAATACTTTGTTTGCCTTAAATGTTTTTTTAGCTTGTATTCTTCTGCTTTTACCTATCTTAGATGCTTTCAAAGGACATTTTCATTCACAGTATACTGTTAAGTCAGTTAATATTTGTACTCAGTGCAAGCATGTCTATTTCCAAATAATATATTTTGCCTTAATTGGCTTACTCAGTAAATTAATTGAATAAATTTTCCTAGAGGTCTATATGTATTTTAAAGGTGATTATTTTTTTGATGTTGCTGATGAACACTGTGTCTGACAAAAAAAAGAATAAAGAAAGAAAAATCTCAATACAAATAAAAAAACAAGCCCAGAAAATGAATCTTGAGGTTGTGAGATCTCTCACTGGGATGACTTCCTAGTATCATAAGCTAAAATGAGGGTACATAGACTTCTGATTTATATCAGGAGTGAAGCAAAGCTCCTATATTCCAGTGGGAAACTGTAAATGAACTACTTTGAACATCCACAAGTCCTGAGGAGCTATGGGATCCATCCAAGGGTATTGAAGTAGCTGGTGGCACAGGTCACCAAGACATTCTTAATTATTTACCTCAGTCGTTGACTAACTAGAGCTGTCCCAATTGATTGAGATTAGCAAATGGGAGGAAGAAAGATCAGATCCAGGGAATTGCAGGTCTGTCAGTATGAACTCTATACCAGAGAAGGTAATGGAGCAGATCACCTTTAGTGATAACCACACTGAACATTTGGGACAGTTGAATAATTAGCATTAGAATTAGAATAACGCAGCCAGTGTGGATCTATGAAGGGCGGGTCCTGCTTAGCTAACCTGATGTCCATCTCTGACAACGTTACGTGTTCGATAGATGAGGGAAAGGCTCTCTATGTTGTCTACCTGGATTTTGTTTAAATGTTTGATGCTATTTCCCACAGTGTTCTCCTGGAGGTACTGGCTGCTTATGGCTTGGTCAGATGTACAGTTCAGCAGGTGAGGAACTGGCTGGATGACCAGGCCCAAAGAATTGTGAATGGAGTTTAAGTTGGTTGGTTACCAGTTGTGTTCCCCAGGAATGGTCTTGGGACAATTTTAACATTTTTATCATTGATGTGAATAAGAAGAGTGAATGTATTCACACTAAATTTGTGGACAGTACCAAGCTAGGCAAGACTGTTCATCTGTTTCAGTGCAGGAAGGTTCTACAGAGTGATCTGCATAGGCTGCAACCAATCTCAGATGACATTCAACAAGGCTAAATGCTGGGTCCCACACCTGGATCACACCTGTGGTGGTATAGGCTTGGGGAATGCTATCTGAAAAGTTGCCCAGTGGAAAAAAGGACAGGAAATAATCATTAGGTGTAGATGTCCTGGGCTTAAATTAAAATTTAAACTGGAGAGGAATTCGTTTTCCTTCTGTGTTGCCCGTTCACGTATAAGAAATAACATCCCCAAATAAAAACCAAGAGTTGAGCTTCTTTGAGAGACCAGTAAAATGAAAAATGTCTGCAGTACACTTTGGAAAGCTAACAAAGTTTATAATTATGACTTATCTGAGTGAAAGCTCTTTTCATTGTCTGAGCTACAGTTGGCATAAATGAATTCAGGAGTGAATTAAAAAATAACATTCAGCTTTTTACAGTCTGCTGTGTGATACTGTGGACGTGGTGGCACATCCTGTGTTAAACGTGCTGAAATCAGCGTAGTGAAGCACATGTCAGAATACATTTAGATGTATAAAGACAGTTCACAACTGCTTATCACTGTTGTAGAAACAGGTTCAGAATGGATGCTTGCTCCAATAAGGATGTTGTAAGAAAAAAGTTCAGGGAAGCTCTCCTGCTTGAAAATGGAGGATATCAGCAATTGTTGTAAATGATCCAAGGGGTGCATCCAGGTGGAAGGGAAACCAATCATATAAAGAGAGTATGTTGCTGTGCTTTATTTCTAAATTTGGAATTGCTGTCAAGTTGCTTTGTGTACTATAGATTCTGTAGCAAGCACTGCTGAAAGCAATTTTTCCATGACCACAGGCTTTTTCATCATATGTCATATGTCAGGTCTATGTCATGTGTTTTCATCATATGTCATCATATTTTTCTCAAAGAAGTTACAATTATCTCAGCAGGAAATACATGTTCATAATAAGTCATGTTGTGGAAAGAACATAATTTGGTCTGAGGTCCTTCTGTTGTAGCTCCTGACTCACTACAGTCAAGCAGGGAGCAGAAGGGTGGGCTGTGAGAGATTGTCTCCATCTTCTAGATAAGCCAAAGTGTAACAGTGGCTGCTTGTTCCACTATGGTTGTTGCACTGCTTGTTCTTGCTGCACATTTTTATAATGATTTTGTGATTTGTTTCACTGCCATTATCTGATCAGTTCAATTCCTTGAGGCTGAACTGAGACATGATTGCACCACTGCTTCTCAACACTGCCTGGTAGAGTGACAAAAATGTCCTCACTAAAAACCTTTATGTCCCTGTGTGCTTGTCAAAATGGATATTTGTCCACTATCCTACTGTTTTGTAAAGAGAATTTCAGATAGATGAAGCCAATTTTTCCAGCTTGCATTAAATTGAAGCTCATCTAGGCAATCTGAATTAAGGCCAAAAACATAGGGGAACATTCATTAGCTCTGCTGCTTGCCTGAACACTTGCTGCTTTTGTGTAGCCTCTTTAATGCTAAATGTTTAAATGCACTGCTTAATACATGTTAAGGTAGAGATTCTAAGTCATTGGCAGGTTGCACAGTGGCAGCATTTTAATTATTCTGGAAAACAGTAATGAGTGATAAATTCAGGTTGAACTTGAAAGGATCTCTATATGCCAAAAAGAGATGGGTCAGTCTTCAGAAACAAAAACAAAACAAAACAAAACAAAACAAAAAAAACCAAACCAAAACAAACAAACAAACAAAAACAACAGCGCAAGGATCTTCTCTATAGGAGAAAAACTGGATTCTTATTTATTTATTTTTTCAAAGGCTGAAAAACGGCTTCAGGGCTTAGTGAAAGGGTTTAAGGAATAAGATCTAGTTCCTGCTGGTGAGTAGAGGACTGAAATTCCTTTGTTTTGTGTATGTGATGCTAGCTCTTAAAGCCAGTTGAAGATTTTTTCTGCTTCTTCCACCACGTACAATTTTAGTAGGTGAGAGAGAAACTATATATGTTTCTTCTGGTTTCTTTGTTCTAATTAACATTCCTGAGGTGGAAAAAAAAATAACCTGCTATGTCAATAGCTGTCTTGTTAAGATGATATTCTGCGTCACTTAGATATTTTCCATATCAAATTATACCTACTGGCCATTATTACTGAGCTCTTCTGTTTGCAGGAGGTGTTTGGGGATGATTATTAGCAGTGGGCTTAGGGAATATATATATATTTTTTCTTTAAATAAATGTACTGTCTGGTCCAAATCCACAAGAAGTAGTCCTCACAAAAAGATGATGTTTAAATAAACAAAGCAGAAAATCTGAAATGATGGCTCAGATAAGAAATGTGCCCATAAATATTCACATGCCGTGATGAAGCTCATAATTATAATGGACTGAACAGTTCCGTGGAGCAGAATGAATGAACTGTGAAACCAAACAAGTGGGAAGATAGAGCTGAGAAAGGAACTCTGGTGCAAGCATTCTGTTTGCCTAAAGCTGTGGGTCAGAAGTGGGATTGTCTAAATAAGTCTGAAACAAGCTGAAGGTTCAGGAGAGAATGAAATTTAAGGCTTACTTTTCTTCTTCCCTATATTTGAGATTATGTTCCCGTAGTTGCTATATTCATTTACCATAGAAGCAGGATAGCCCATCTTTTTGGAAATATCTGTAGCCTGCATAACAGTTTTCCTGCAGAAGTCCAAGTGGAAAGCTTTGTGTAGGGAAGCTGGACACTCAGCAGTGTCACACTCAGAAACTCATAACTAGTGCCTATCTTTTTACAAAGGTAACAAAGTGCAGATGAGGTGTAGCAGAGATGGGTTTACATGTGCTAACTTCATTCTAGGGACTGATGATGACAACAGAAGGAAAAACACTAAAACAAATTCAGTCTCTGAGCCCATTTGAGATAGTTGTTACTCTGGTGAAGTCCACGACACTGCCTTTTCAAACACTTGTTAATTGTGTCAAGGTACAGATAGCAGAAGTGGCTGCTGGCACTGCTTTTTCTTGTGTATCATGTTGACCTCCTAGGGTAGATCATGAATATACATGGGTTGGCAGACTGTAAAAGTCAAAATGAGCTGTATGATCCAGATAGGGGCTGTGGTCATATTCAGTCCTTTTGTGATTGACTTTATGAAGTTAGAGCCATGAGTAAGAGCAAATAATAAAAAAAAAAAAGGAAAGAAAGAAAGGAAAGAAGTTGTATCCATATATATATATATAAAATCAGAAATTGATCTATATTATGTAGTATTCCTAGCAGAATAAGCTCTCTTTTTGTTCGCAATCAGCTGAAGATACCTGGGGCTGCTCTCACATGCTGTTTTGGCTGCATCTGCTTTCTGTCACTGCCTCATCATTCAGAACTGAACTGCTGTAGAACACCACACTCAGCCACTGAAATGGGTCTGGACAACTTCCATCCAGCTGCCCTCTTCAGAATTGCTATAGATGTCTGTGGAAAAAGAGTAGGACATGGAAACAGGGGCTGCTAAGACAACAGATATAATTTGTTTTCATGGAACATCAATTTATGCAAAATCAGAAAGAAATCACATTTGATCCCATATGCTTTCCAAGATGTTCTGCCCTAACGGAAAGAGTTTTTAGAAATGCCTTCCAAAAGTCATCCCTTCCTTTTTAGACACCTGCTTAGTTTGGGCAAGTGAGCTTTGGCAGAAGAGGGCAAAGAGAGGAATGCAGCCTGAAATGATATGACAGAAGTCAAGGACAGTGAAAGAAATGGGAATGTTCAGTGAGGAATGGAGAAGAGCCACAAGAAAAGGTAGATCAGCTTGATCTGCTTAGGGTTATTCAATGCACTGGATGCAGTCCAGGGTAATTGAGGGAGCAGGTGGGAATAGGTGTAATTGCTGAATGAAAATATCTAGGGTGTGTGCTACTGCTGATTTTGGTCAGTTCTAGAAGAACATGAATTCATACATGCATGTCCTTCAGTATGGTGTTTAAACATAATTTGATTAGTAGCCTTGTGTTTTCATATTCATACAATGTGGGTTTTGTATCTAGAAAAGAAGTATTTATCTCTGAACAATATTCTCTGTGAGAGCGAGAACTCTATGGGTCTAGTTTACAATTACATTTAATATTTGACCAAACAATTTTTTTTTTTAAGCATTTCTTTCCTTCTTCATGTTAATGGACACTGGAATAAATAGCAAAATGGGAACATTCTACATCACAT